ATCATCTTACCAGCCACGGTCTTTCTCGCCTTATGCCCCTTTTCTTTCTTTCTTTCTTCTTTCTTCTTTCTGTCTATCAAGTCAGAGTGTCTACTCCGGGTTCACTGATTTCTTTATTTTTCCTGTTGTTTTCAGTATTCCGGTATTTTATCTTTTTGTCTGTTTATTTATTTATTTTCTTTTGCTTTCTTTCTTCCTTTGACATCGATTTGTTTATTTCTGTTCTACAATTGGAACGGTGTTTTATTATGCTGATTCCAGCATCCTCCATCGTACCTTACTTCCCTCCTCTCTGGCTGAACCAACTGTTGTTTGTTCTATTTATTCTCTTGGATGTAATTTGGTACACTAATATCCTCTTGTACATATTAATACTGAAAGTGATACTGATACATACCACCTACTTAGATAGGACTAGAGTTTCAAGAAGCGGTCACATCATTACCCCTCTGGGACAACAGGTGGGCAACTGATTTACAGCTGATCCTTCTGAGGCCGTCAGTCTTCGCGCTAACAGATAGACTTCTCTTTCTGACCCTTTTGGAGTCTTGCACAACGCCATTCTCCACTATCGCCATCTCTCCCCTCTCCCCTCTCCCTCCCCCCCACCACCGCCATCTCCGGCCCACCCCATCCATCCCCCTTAAAGACGGAGTCTGACAACTCCCGCGCTTGCATAATCGCTGTCAAGGAATGTGGTCGTTCTTGATCTTCTCGAGTCTGAGCACTGTTGGAACCGTGCGGTTATCGCTCTCGTGTCTCTCTACACTACTCCTCTTTGGGGAATCCTGATCTTTCATCATTGTGTTTGGTTGGACTCTTGCTTACATTGTAATTTTGATTTCCGCCTTTTGGCCCCGGTGTTTGTCATTTTTCCCTCGTTGCTTGATAGGAATTTATTTTTACTTTCCTTGTTTTTTGATTCTATTTTCTATTTGATTTATCTTATTCTATCTTATTTTTTTTTTGTCTTCCCAATTTTCGACATTTGATTTCTTTTTTCTTATGATTTTTCCTTGTGGTCTTCAATCTTATTGTTCGATTCTGCCAACAAACTCTCTCCTCCCTGCTTTGCCTCGCCGCGCACAACCTCCCCAATTTACCGGCCACCCTCTTGCAGCTCCCCGACACCTTGAGCCACTCGTCGATTGTCCAGCCGCGATCGAGCCATCGAGCGACTTCGTCAGATTCCATTGTTCCCCCGAATCCCCGAGCCCGGTAGAAAAAAGCGGAGTTGATTTGGATCTAACATGAGGAGGGGTTGCGCTCTCTGGTATGTGATAGATGGCCTCCTGGACGGTTGGCTTCTCATGACCCCCCTCAACCCCCTCAAGGTGTTGGAAGAAATAAGAACTCATTCCAGCCGGAATGGTGGCTTATTCCTTGGATGTGTATCGAAAGAGCGCGATGTGGTGATGCCGATGTCGCGTGGATCCCTGCACTTTTCTTACCTCTCCCCATCATACAAAACACATTGCACTTTCAGGGACTGTGTCGTCAGGATTGTCTCCACTGAGTCTCACTAATCCCTGCTTCTCTTCATAGATTTGACCACCCCGAAGTTTCATCTCTTGAGACGACACATTGCTTTCGTGAAGAACCGCCGACGACACCGACTTTTGGCAAGATTGGACGAGGCTGGCTCCACTCCAATCATCACGGCAACCACGACTCTTGATAAATCCTACGGTTGAGATACCCCTGAGGGACAAGGAGTGGGATATTTTCGTGTCGAAGTCCGGTGAACTTTCAGTGCAGATTCTAGAACCCAAGTCGGTCCATCTGAGCTCTCGCCTGACCGATAGGCGCAATCCTGGGTGTCGCTAACCCGGAATCTCCATTCTTAGACTCTGTTGGTTCGTTAGAAACGTGAAAGAGCCAGCAAGCTATCGACGGCATCACCTTTGCCCGGGATCATCTCCTCAAATATTCCCGCGTGGTCCGTCCTTTGACCCACGATAGACGCCTAAAATGCCATCGAGACAGTCCACTGTTCCCAATTTAGATCTTAGCTCTGCCACGCTCCAGACGAACGTGAAGATCGCTTCTCCACTAACGCCCGGTGCCCAAAGCTCCGATGGGCCGAGTCCCCTGACGCCCCGTTCCCCTAAATCCTCCTCTAGCTCGCCATTTTTCAAGGGGGCCACCATCCGTCCCGTCACCCAGGACTCCAACAACAGCAAGTCCAATAGCCCAACCTTCCCGACCTCTCCTGGCCTCGCGCCCCAGCCATCTACCCCGGGCCTCACTGCTATCCCCCCGTACCCTCCCTCGCCCCGAGAGACCCCCAAACATACCCGTGACACCTCCCGCTCCTTTTTTGCCAACCTCAAGGCGCCCAAGTCGTCGCACAAGTCCCAGAGATCAGACGGGTCGGGGAACTCAGAGAAACCCAAGAGCAGTGGCGGTTCGTCAGATCGCAAGGGCCAGGTTTCCGCCAAGTCGTACGAATCCACGCCGGACCTCCTCAGTGCTCTGGAACGGTCCCGGAAAGAGAACCGTAAGTGCTATCCGACCCCTGGATAGGAAAGGACGTTCCAACTGATGACATCTGTCTCTGTAGACGGCGACAGCGCGCGAGACAAGCAACCCTACCCGTCGGAGATCAGGAAAGTCGGCACAGAGTCGGAAGCCGGTGGCCTGAACAAGAAGAATAAACCCCGCTTTGCCAACCTCCTGTCCCGTTCTCGCTCCATTCGGTTAGACGACTCCTCGTCCAGCAGGATCCCCGCACGACGTCCATCGACCAGCCTGATGAAGCTCGAAGAGCACTCCAAGCAGGAGGGCCCGGAGCCCCTGAGGCTCACCGCGTCCCGTGGAGATCGCGGCACCACCCCAGTACAGGCCAGCCCTGCCGCTCGCAGTTACCCCGTCGATCGTCCAGTGGACCTCAATGGCAATGCACGGAGGGAAAAGCCACCAGGAGGCTCGATGGCCCCCTCCGGGTCACTCAGTCAGGTTTCAGGGGCTTCAGCGGCATTGTTCAACAATATCAAACAGTCGTCCAACGGCGCTGCCAACAAGCTTGGCAAGGCTAGCAAAGGGTTTTTGGGCAAGATTACCCGGAGTGGGAGCACGAATGAGCGGGAACTCATCAATGACGACGCCTATACCTGCACCGTGATCAACCTGCCGCTCATCGAACAAGCGCGGAAAACGCGGATCGCCAAACGACTGGAAGATTGTCGTGATAAGACGGAGTTTTGGATGCCGGCGTTGCCGTATCGCTGCGTAGAGTATGGAATCCTCTTCCGGGCCGTTCGGTCGATTTGCTAATCATGTCTCAGTTATCTCAACTTCAAGGGCTGTGAAGAAGAAGGCCTCTATCGCGTTCCGGGCAGCGGGAAGGAGGTCAAACACTGGCAACGGCGTTTCGATACAGGTACGTCTTTGTCCCAAATGGCCCCGCCCCCTGTGCGATGTATCTGACTTCTTTGTAGAGCTTGACATCTGCCTCTTTGACGTGCCCAATCTCTATGACATCAACACCATTGGCTCGATGTTCAAGGCATGGCTCCGTGAGCTGCCTGACGAACTGTTTCCGAAAGAAACACAAGCCATGATCGCGGAGAAGTGCGAGGGCGCCACCACTGCCCCGCAGCTGTTGAAAGACGAGCTCTCCAGATTACCCCCCTATAACTACTATCTCCTTTTCGCCATAACCTGCCATCTCAACCTCCTCCATTCGTACGTCGACCAGAACAAGATGGACTACCGCAATCTGTGCATCTGTTTCCAGCCTTGCATGAAGATCGACGCCTTTTGCTTCTACTTCCTTGTCTGTGACTGGAAGAATTGCTGGCAAGGGTGTTGGACCGAAAAGGAGTTCCTGGAAGTCGAGAACGTGATGGACGAGAAAGAAAGAGCCGCCAGGGAGGACGCCCAATTCGACTGCTCGCACGCGGACGACAGGGCTGTCTCTTCCGGCAGTAGTCAAAACGCTACCGAAGAGGAGGAGCCGATCCGCCCTGTCACTGCTCGGCCAGCAACCGCTCGTCCCGCAACAGCGAAGACCCGCAGACCGAAACCGGAGAAAATCGAGACGTCGCATTCCCGGAGTGTGTCCCAGCTCCCTGAACTTGGGCCCCCACTGTCACCTATCAGGATGTGAAACCTCCACGACAGCGGCGTCCATATTTCTGCCGCGCAACACCCAGTTTGTCTCAACCGCCCCGAAACCAAGGTACCTCTCAGGGGTCCTGTTCGCTTAGGCTGGCCTATCCTGTCTCACCTCGACACGTCGCACTGAGGTTAACGTCTCGGACTGGATCCGCAGAGGAACCTTATCAGCACATAAGGTTTTCAATCCGTTTCAGTTCCCGGAATATACCTTGGCAGATACAGTGTTTTTCAAATCTCAGATAATTGACATGTCACCATCTCGCAACGCTTTGGAAGGTTTTGTGCTTTTCTCACCTCTCTCTCCCATTCCCGCTCTTACAGACCTGTTATCTCAACAGTGCATATTCTTGGCGCCTTGGAGTCGGATGGCGTCATGCAACATTTTTCCTCCTTTTTTGACCATTGCTGTATAAATTGACCCATTGCTTTTCCAAGTCGAGTTAAATGACATTTGCGTCTGGGGTTTTGATTTCAGCATTTGCTTTATTATCGGCCATGACATGTGCCTGTTTCTTGATTCCCTGATTCTGATTCTGATTCCCTGATATCCCCCCCTGGAGCCTTCTCACTCTTTTCTGGCCGTTCTTGCTGTGTCTGGTTCTGGATTTCTGTGCTGTGCTTCTTGATGTACTGCTGTGGGGCACGCCTTTGACATATAATTGTAACATAGATCAATGAGTATGCAACTTATGTTGACCATGTCGTTTATACCCTAGATATGTGTAGGTTGAATACTAGAAGCAAGGTAGAAGATGACTTTTGAATCTTGTTGTAAAGTATACGTATAAGGGCTATCTCCAACCCTAACTAACATATTGTGAAAACTGGACGGAACATGATATAATAGAACGATGTGTATGTAACATGACTTTTTTCAACTCAACAGCAGCAGTCCTTTTCAGACAGACAGACAGACAGACAAGACAGCATCGACATGATTGATTGATTTAAGACCGGCGACTCCAATCCAAACTCCATAAGGGTAAGTAAGCCTAGGTAAGGTAGCGTTCCAAACAAACAAACAAATAACAAGACACATAAAGACCCGGCCAAATCTAGCAAATATCACTTTTCCTTCCCCGTCCCCTTTTCATCTTCTTCTCTATCGATCTACTCAGTTCGTCCTCGTCTTCCGCTCATTACTCCTCATCTTGCGCTCATTCCGACGTATGCGATCCTTACGCTCCGACCGAGACAACCCCCGGATCGAGCTCCCCTTCTCAACAGCATCCTCCTCCTTCTTCCAGTTCTTCTCATCGACCTCAACAAGCCACTGCTCGTCCGCAGACTTGTTCTTCCCCTTGTAACCCCAGCGCGGAACCCACTCGTCCTTCTCCTGGTCGTAGACGAGCTTCTTGCGGCGCTCCGAGTCCGCCATCCCGGCGCCCGGCCGCGTGTTGTATTTGCCGATGCCCTTCTTGCGCGCGAACAGCTCCCACTTGGTGGGCGGCTTGGGCGTCGGCAGGGGCTTGAAGCGTGGGAGGATAGTTGTGGGCGCGGGGAGGGTGAGCAGCACGCCTTGCGGCGTGGAGGTGATTGGGCAGGTGGTTAGGAGCTGGTTGAGGAGGGACTGCGTGCCATCGCGGGCGGTCGCTTTCAGGGTGCTGTCCAGGGATTCGGTGGGGGAGGTCTCGATTGGGTTGGGGTCGTTGGCGACGAGGTGTCGCAGGTCGAAGGTGTAGGGCGTGGGCTTGGAGACAGTTATGGGACTGTTTGGGAGGTTAGCTGGGGTCATTGTATGGGTGCGATGCAGAATTGTATGCTGGGTGGGAATATGTAGCGGGCGCATGTTGGATGATGGATGGATTGTAACGTACAGTCTCTCCGCCTTGCCTTTGGAGGCAGATGCTGCTTCCGCTGCGGACATGTTTTCGAAGGATATATATTGTATCAGACTTCGAAAAGTATTGCAGAGGAGAAAAGAGGATGTGGTTTGAAAGATGTTGAGATAGAGCGAGAACCTGCTAAGAAAATCGAGGCGGAAAAAAAGTAAAAGCGGGTCGATAAATCTCGGGACGCTGCTTTTGCGCGACCCTCACCGCCCTCGTGAAGCAGCGAGCACGCTAGCCCCAAAGGAGTAAGAGAAGTTCTTCCGCTCCGATCCCAAATTGTGCTCCGAATTTCCCAAACCAATTCATCAAGTCTGTCTCTCTGATACTTGATGCTTTGACTGGACATCCCCTCTCCACACATCCCCTCCCTCAATTCCTCAAGGGCCCGTTTGACTGTTAGTCTCTGGCCATTGCGCCAGAGTATTCCAGCCACAATGGTTTCTTCTTTCTGTTGGAGCTGCCTGACGCGGCTTCCGACGCCGCGTCCTCTGCTCTCGGCCCCGGCTACTATCCCCAGGGCAGCTACAGCAGCCGCCTCGTTCCACACCTCCACGGCGCGCGCCTTTCCCATGCCGACGAAGAAGAGTCGCAGCCTGGACAGCGGCCCCAAGTACCGTCAGGCCAAGTCCGCCAGGATGAAGAAGAAGAAGCCCACCGATAAGCCCCGTCCGCCTCCGATTGGAGAACGCAAGGCCCTGCGCAAGCGCATTGTTCTCAGCAACCCGAACGCCCTTGAGGTCGAAGGCATGCAGGATTTCGATGCGGACACGATGGTCGACTCGCATCTGCATGGTAATGTGCTCGGTCTGCCGGTGACTATGCTTGATCAATTGAGGGCTGTGCAGGCTTTCAAGCCGAAGCAGGGCTGGTCCATCTTCCGCCGTCCGGGTACGGTTGTTAGACGCGAGACTTTGGAGATGGGTAGGCTGTTTGATAGGATGTCAGGTGATGGTGCCGATAAGGGGAAGGTTGTGAAGAAGATTCTCACTGGCCCGAAGGGTTCGGGTAAGACGGTCCATATGCTGCAGGCTATGGCTATGGCTTTCACTAAGAAATGGGTTGTTTTCTCTGTCCCTGATGGTACGTATATGGAAGATATTTAGAATGTGTCTCTAGCACTAACAATAATACAGCGCAGGAACTTACCTTGGCGCACACCGGCTATGCCCCGCTCTCCGATGAACAGCCCGATCTCTATGTCCAGAAAGATTCCACGGCCGCCCTTCTTTCTCGCACCGCGATTGCCAACCAGGCTGTCTTGAAGGATCTCCATGTCTCCCAAAACCACCCTGCCCTCAAGACGCCCGTCAAGGAGGGAACGACGCTGGAGGATCTCACCAAAATCGGTATCCGGGACCCCGCCCTGGCCTGGCCCGTCTTCCAGGCGCTGTGGACCGAACTGAGCGCTACCTCTCCTGCCGCCGGGTTCGAGAAGAGCTTCAAGCCTCGTCCGCCCATGCTCGTGACCGTCGACGGCCTTGCCCACTGGATGAAGAACTCCGAATACCTCAACATGGAGTCCAAGCCCATCCACGCCCACGACCTCGTCTTCGTCCGCCACTTCCTCTCCCTGCTGAAGTCGGGCTCCCAAACCCCCACCCTTCCCAACGGAGGCCTCCTGCTTTACTCCACCTCGGCCTCGAACAAGCCCAGCCTCCCCACCTTCGAGGTTGCTCTCAAGCAACTGGAAGCCCGCCAGGCTGGCGTCAACCCTTCCTCCGCGGAATTCCCCCAGCCCAAGGCCTACAGCAACCCCGACCCGCGCGTTCTCGACATCGCCAACGTGTCGAAGCCCGCATCCGCCAAGGAAGGCCCCGTGGAAGTGCAAACCCTAGGCGGCCTCTCCCGCGAGGAAGCCCGCGGCTTCCTGGAATACTTTGCTCGCAGCGGACTCCTTCGGGAAAGGATCAGCGACGAGATGGTCTCCGAGAAGTGGACTCTCGCTGGTAACGGCGTGATTGGCGAGCTTGAGAAGCTGGGGAAGCGGCTTCGCGTTGCTGCTCAATAGTGACCGATGCGTTATACTGAGAGGTTCTCGCTGCATGCTTGAGCTATCGGCATTTCCGCGTGCTTCGCTGTATCCTTCTATCTTTCCTCTGTTGTTACCTTTTCCTTTTTCTTCCCTTTTCATGTTCTTGAGCATCGCCCCAAGACCTGTCTAAAGATCTATTTTTTTGTACTCTATCTGTTGTTTTTGGGCTTCGCGTGTCTGTATGTATGCATATAATGGAATTTATAAGACATGTCTCTGGTATCATATTATATTGCATCGTGTTACTAGTTGATGAGTCGATTGGCTGAGAATCTGCAAGCTGGTTCCGACAGCTCACCAGTCACTTGAAGAGCTGCCAGTTGCTGGGTAGGTAGTCTGTTAAGCCGTGCTCTTGGTCACGAGCTTCTTTGATTGAGTCAGTATGGGATGTATACCTCTTTTAACATTAACAAACAATTTACAGGTATATGCTGAAACTGGGTTTTATGCTCCTTAGAAAGCTTATATATATAAACTTAGTGGATATAACGAGATAATTAGTAAATAATGAAACCAATATATTAAAGATAAACCGATCTCAATATAGTTCTAAATAAGAATGATACTAAAGCAGTCCCACAGAATAGCAGAAAGATATATATCACATCACGTTAAAAAGCATCCCGCGCACATTCCCATGATGAAGATGGGCGATGAGAACCATCCTCAAAATCACTAACCCACCACCCGAATCAACTGCTCAAACAACCGATCAGAATCAGGCTGCACCGGCCCAGCCAACGCCAGCGCATCCTCAAGACCAGCAGGCGGATAAATCAACTCCTGATTGATACGCATCTTAACACGCTTCGCCAAATCACCAGAAACTTTCACCCTCTTCTCATCCCAGCCGCCCGCCACGACCGCCCCCCACGGCCCCAGATCCAGACAACAGTTATACGCTGGCTGCGAGTATTCCACAAGCGGTTGGCCCAGGAGCTCCGCGGCCGCGTTGTAGCCGGATACCCGGCCGAGCAGCAGCGCGTGCTGGCACGACATCAGCGCGTAATTACGTTTGCCGTCTGCGAGAGCGGCCGCAGCGTCTCCTGAGGCGAAGACGCCCTTCGCGGAGGGGACCCGTAGATACGGGTCGACGTGCAGACGGGAGAAGCGATCTCGAGGGCCCGGGATCTGCTGCGTTAGTGGGGTGGCCTTGACGCCGGCGGTCCAGATGGCGGTGTTGGTTTGGATGCGTTCGCCTGATGAGAGCGTGACGCCTGAGGGGTCGACGGCAGCGATGCCTGAGCCTAGTTTGGTTTCGACGCCGAGGGCGTCCAGGGCGGCGGTTATGGTGGGGCGGGGGCCGGCGCCCAGGGTGGCACCTAGCTCCGGTGCGTTGTCGACGAGAATGATGCGGGGGTTGGCGAGGTGTTGGAGGCGCTTGGGGAGTTCCGCGGCCAGCTCGATCCCCGTGAATCCGGCGCCGCATACGACGACGGTGTCGCGGCTGGGGCTGGCGGGCCGGGACGCCAGGCCTTCGAGGTGGGCTTCTAGTTTGATGGCGGAGGCTAGCGAGTCAATATCGAAGGCGTGTTGCTGTAGGCCGGGGACGCTGTCGGGCCGGATGACGGAGCTACCTGCGGCTAGGATCACGCGGTTGTAGGTGATGGTGATGCTCGATGCGGTGCCGGATGTCGGCCGCACAGCGATGGTCTGCGCATCGGGATGGATGGCCTGGACGGTGCCGGGAATGAACTTGATGTCTGCAGCTTGGAAGAGAGCGTCAAGGCTGTGGACTAAGCTGGAGGCGTTGGACTCGTACAGGCGTGGACGCATGACCAGCACGGGCTCCGGGGCAACAACTAGGATCTCGAACTCGCTGGCCTTATTGGCCTGGTCGATCAAAGATCGCGCGGAGAGGGCACTCCAGACACCGGCAAATCCGGTGCCAATGATGACGATCTTGTTGGCCATTTGTGGTGAAGGCTTGCACTAGGTTTTAGGGTTGTGGTGGTGACACGGTAGAAGCTGAACTGCTGGGAGTGAGAGAGGGTGATGCAGGGCTGTAGAACTAGAATCAGTATTGTGGTGCCACTTTATATACTTTGATGTTACCATCCTTCGGAGTTTCTCGACGGTTTCCCGTGTCGGGCGGCGATGGGGATTCCCGAGCATCAAGGGATGCCGTGAGACTATCTAGGGCTTTGCGGATACCCGGATACCCGGATAGTCGGGGAATGTCAGCGGTCTCGGGTACCCGCACCCATGAACGGGCTTCCATCATGACATCAACATCCCACCTTCATGCATCCTCATGACTCCCACGAATACATCGCCAGAGCGAAAGGGCAGGGCGGTGCGCTCGTCTCTGGCATGTCTGCCCTGCCGCTCGCGTCACCTGAAGTGTGATGGGAAGCGACCGTGTTGCAGCCGATGTGCTGAGACCGCGCGAGACTGCGATTATGCGAGATCGCGCCGCGGCGGGCTGAACCGCGCAGCGCTCGCGGAGAGGCGCAAACGCCCTGCTGGGGTAGCTGGAGACTCGAATTCCCAGTCGTCGTCGAGGATTCGGCAGGGTGAGGGCTCGACGTCGCGGTCGAGGGAGGCGGACTCTCCCGGCGGTGGCGGTCTACTTTATGCCATCAGTACGGGGGACGATGCCGCTGATTTTGCGTCGCCCGCGGCAACTCGAGTGCATACGGATGCCATGGGGAGTGATACGTTGGTCGACGCATATTACGCGCAATTCCACCGATTCCATCCGTTCATCCTCCCCCAGAAACAGCTCACGCGGCTCTATCGCGACCCGAGCACACAGTCTAGACTCCGGCCACTGCTTGCCATCTTACGGCTTATTGGATGTATCATGAGCTCGCGGAGATGGTCGGCTTCATGGAAAGATCACGTTGAGGCCTGTTTCGCAGAAGCACCGCCTACGGACCCGATGATGGTTCAATGTCGCCTGTTGTATTCCATGGTGCTGTTCTGGTACGGCTATGAAGCCGATGCCAAGCGGGAAATGGACATGGTGGTCCGACTCGCGACTGACCTCCGGGTGTATCTCCGGGAATTTGCGGTGCTGCACGGGGGCGAGGATGCTGTTCTCCGGGAAAGCTGGAGAAGGACATGGTGGATGGTGTATATCATCGATGCTTATTATGCAGGGACTCTGGGGACTAACAAGTCCGATTTGTGGGATATTGACATTACTGCTGAATTACCGTGTGAAGAGCACGAGTTTGAGTCGGGGGTGAGTACTGTGAAGACAGACATTGCTACCACCTCTTTGTCATCACATTGGTTCCACTGATCAGACGGCTTACTTGGTCACAGGAGATCCCCAAGCCCAAATCTCTAAGTGAGTTCGAGTCTCGCGAATTCGCCTTGGACAGTACCTCATTCTCCTCGTTTGCCTACCTGATTGGCGCCGTACGATGCATGGCCCTGGCAATGTCCACAGCCCCGAAGAGCGCCGGCAAGCAAGACCCAACCCATATCCTGCAGGCTGCCGACTCCTTCCTTGACGGATGGCGGCTGCTGTTACCGAAGAATCGCAAGGAGATCATATCGAAGTCAGGAGAAATCGACGAATTGATGTTTCAGGCACACAGCCTCATAAACATGTAGGCAACCCCTGCGCCATGATATGGGTCCTCTTTAACCTGCAATCTCGCATCAGAGCAACAATCGCCATCCACCGGCCCTTTTCCGACCTCAAGTTCAACCCCGTGGAGGATGTCTCCAGCTGTGCCCGGGAGCCCCCAGCAGACACCCCTGTATCAGATTCTGCGAATATACACACTGTACGCGTGCTTCGATCTGTCGAGGCCCAGGTTCGCCTGCTAGCCTTACCGACGCGCCGGTTCCACCATACCCCGTTCGTAACATGCATGATCAGCGGCGGAACATTGGCCCTGCTATCGGCATGCAGAGTCCTGCTCCAGGGAAAGGACCTGGCGATTGCAAGGGGCCAAATTCGCATGACTATCGGGTGTCTTTTGGCGATCGGCGAGGTGTGGCCGCGGGCCGCTAGGAATGTGCGCGAGATCCAGATCATTGCGCGCCGTGTGCTCGGCCTTGAGACCGGGACGGCGAGCAAGAGTGAGACATCCAGATCTAGCGACTTGCCAAGTCTGTCGGATGGCGAAGAACAGGGAGGTACTGCCCCGGATGTCGACGCTCCCGTCAATGATACTGAGATCTTCCCTTCGCTTGAATCAATTGACAGCCTCGGGGGGTGGTGCAATCTGAGCGACCTGGATCTGGACCCTTCGTGGGGATTGAATAACGTTGCGGGATTTTGAGTCTTCCAGCTTGATTAAAAAAGGTATACTTTTCGTCTCTAGTCATAACAAAGTTTCTGGGTTTTTGTGCAAACCACTAGACCTGTATAAACACGGTCAAGCAGACCTGTTCTAACCACAGCTTCCCGTCCGCTCAGTCATACTTACGCCATTATCATAAACGCGGTCAAACAATATCTGAGCCCTTCAGCCCTTGCTGCTTTGGAAATGATAGATGTTAAACTAGAGGGTGAGTGTGGATGAGGAGCGAGTGAGTGAGGGAGGATAAGTGAGTAGGTGAGTTAAGATTAAGAGTCCTTTTTGTGGATATCAATACTCCAGGGCTCATTTACCTCCTGACTGTTATTATGTACTTCATCCAATCTGTCTTAAACCCCAAGTCCTTGAGTTTGTCCAAAATAGGACAGCCTTGCTCACCAAGTGGTTCAAGCCTTAAACTTTGACTAAAGAGAAAAAGGGATAAATTAAAGTGCTTAGTAAATTTGAGGAAGAATAAGGCTTTGTTTTAGAATACCAGGAAGAGTAAGTAAGCAAGCTAAATTAAGAATATCAAAAGAAATAAGCTATAACAAGCCTTCGAAACACAATTAGACAGGGCATGGTCAGTCGGCGCAAGAGATTGACGGCAAGGATAGGTGGAGAAGCCAGGATATTATTATTACCACCAGGGGCGAGACAAACAGGCGAAAAATGCAGGAAAAAGCAGCACGTAAACAAAAATCTACGGCCCGGAAAAATCAATATCAGCCTGTAAGGACCTGATGTACTATGCAAAGGCTATACGAGCCTGCGTAAATCACAGTTTCCCATATGCATGGTAAGCAGTAAGGTATGCAGGTGACTATCTGGAACACACCTACATGGCTGGTTTTTTCTGCTGCTGCGGCCCTATGTACGGTAGTCAACGGTACATAATAGCGAACACATCACAAGATCCAATCACTGGAGAATAATATACAATGTAACCACTAGAGGTGGGTAGATGGGGTAGTTTTAGCCATGTGATAGGCCTGCAGTTATTGTTAATGGAAATTTAGGTCAATGTGAAAGATATTTTCAAGCCGGCGCCGCGATTTGAGACAGCAGCTATTTGGACAAAGTCAGCAATAGGATGGTCAAGGGGAGAAGTGCTTAGCATGCTTATAGGGATGTTGTTATTGCAGGCATGTAGCACATATTTAGAATGAAGATCTGTGAATGCCTCATAGATATCTGGATTGTCCACACTACATGGTCATGTTCTTCCTGCTTCCTGAGGCTCGGGCTCTGCTTGGGCATACCGAGCACAGTTGAAGCATGTTCATTGCGTTGCATTGTCGTGGTGACCCTTGCATAAATAATCTAACATACCTGTAAACAACATTCAATTGCGATAGTGCCGCATGCTTGCAGCCCCAGCAATTGTCTCAGTACCATGAGACATCCGGTGTACTCAAGCCAATGCTTCTAGCATGTATAAGGTAAACATCCCCCGTGTTGAGTACAACCCTTAACTCCCACACTTTAAAGGTATTCGGAATACATCTCTCCCACATACAATCTTTCCGTTCATATTTCACCATGCTCTCTAAATTGGCGGTTAGTTTGCTGGTCACTAGCACTATTGCTGCTTCTGCCGAGACTGCAACGCCCCGGCCGGAGTGTCCCAACATTCATGTCTTCGGGGCGCGCCACACGACTGCAACAGATGACTATGGCCTCGCAAAGGAGCTTGTGAACGCGATTGTTGAGACCCATCCTGGAGCAACAGCCGAACGCATTGATTACCCTGCCCAGGGAGGCTCTACTGATATATTCGCTTGGTCTGCTCAGACAGGGGTCCGAGCCGTCACTCATCAAGTTACTTCATTTGTGAATAGGTGCCCTGACACTCAGATTGTCTTGGTTGGGTATTCTCAGGTAGGTATACTAATCCCTTAGCTTTCGGCGAATATCTCATCTCTAACACTGTCCTAGGGCGCTGAGATTATAGATGATGCCATGTGTGGTGGCCCTGATCCCACCGTGAATATCAGCAGCACCGAACCCCCCTTGTCTAGTGAGATTGGGTCGCATGTCAAGGCAATAGTTTGGATGGGTAACCCCCGTCATACCATTGGTGCGCCTTTCAACCTAGGAACAGCCAGCGCATCGGGGGTAAGTTGGACTTTGAGTATAGCAAGCAGCCTGCAATAGTACTAACATCGGAATAGACCCGTCCGCGATCTGAAAACCTGTCCTGTCTCCCGTATACCGATATAATCCAGTCTTACTGTGACCAGGGAGACAGAGTCTGTACTGACGGCGACTCCTGGGAGGTGCATGGGAGCTATGCTGCGAAATACACTTACAATGCCCTTGAGTTTGTTAATGAGCGGCTTTATTAAATGGTGGCTTTGACATGGGAGGGCTGGGAGAAGGTCTTGGGCAGACGACGGCGCGAAGCTTGATTTGATCACAGAAAGTATCACGTAGGAAATACTTGCATGGCAGCTCAGTTCTAGTCTCTATCCAGCTCTTATTTCTGAGGAGTAGGGTTGACAAACTTGATCAGTGTCCAACATATTGTTAGAAATCGTTGATTGTTAGCCTTGATGGGGGTTTAAGGCTCATGTCAAATACGTCAACGCCATTAGTATAGACCTGCATAAACAAACTATTCTAGCCATGCAAACCTGTAATTATATAATCCTGTATAGTCGACGATTTAGGATATACAAAATTAGCGCAATCGACAAGGATTATACCAGTATACAAGTCTACGTAGAGATATAAGATAACATGCCAGGAACATAATAAAGAAAAGAATATAAGGTCACTCATTGCTGTATGGCCACTGTATACAACGTGGGTTTTGGCGGAGAAGGGTGTCGTAGAGACGGCAATCTGGCCTCGTCGTTGGGTTTATGCTTCCCCATGACCACGTTGCCTTCAAATGACCTTTGAAGTCTGTGGCAGGCTCGTGCCTCCATGAATGCCTTACTTGCCGATTTATACCCATCTTCAAAGATATATCTCCCTCGGGCATTGCCCTTGATACTATAAAGTGGGCACATGCAACTCTGGATGTGTTACCCACATGATTACGCCTCGCACCATATTGGAATGCGGCTAAAGAACTCCTCGCATCTGCTTCTACCGAATCACCATGCTATATCAAGTTCTCCCCATCACCTTTATTCTGACTTCAACGGTCTTGCTGACTAAAACCCCAAGGTTGGGTTCTTGACGGGTACTGGTACCATGTGCTTGAGCGGGCTTTGGCGACGTATCCACAACGTCTCAACGATGTCCCAGCTGTGATCTGACGAGAGTTACATACCGTTGGCACACCAGGTGGTGACCTTATCGTACTGCCGAGTGGAGAGGCAAACTGATGTAGCTACGGCTCCATTAGCTGGCTCAAGGTTGATAGGACTCCTTGCGAGACGAACTTGCTTCGTAGTACGCGAATATCCCATCTCCATCAACATAAGGGCTACTCCGTGTGGCACGCACCGCAAACGAACAAACATGTTACACCACATGCTAAGAACATTGCGTTATGACATATGCGACTCCACTATATGTAAATCTCGACATGATCCACCATTTCCAATGGTGATATAACATGGGGTTCGTAGTTATCAGGTATCTTCTAGAAGTGCCCAGCAAGCATGGCGAACAGAACTGACCGTCCGCAGCGATGCCACTGCTGAGAGCGATCGTGTTTGGATCTAGAAACTTGGTGGGGAGACGAGGCAGCCTTTCAGCCTTACTGCAACGAAACAACTCGTTCCGCAGCTTTCCGAGATATCGAAAGAGATAGGTTTGTAAGGGTTTCCTCTAGGTCTTGTCATAGCCAGATATCTGGAGAGGTACGGGTTGTATTTCCTTCTGCATAAAGGACGATATTTCAAAGTGTACTTGTCATTTGTCTATGTCATTCGTCTATGTCATGGTCCCATTTTCTGTTACCCCATCATCATATAACTCCCTGCACTACTCCGGCGGAGCATCAGAACACTAGTCTAAACACCCATTTTCCAAGAGAAGGCTTTCACGATGCTTCTATCGGGGTATTTCATTACAATCATAAATTACTTAGGCCTACAATCCCCTCTGGGCCCCCAGCTAGATGTACCGGCACCGATTGAAGGCCATGTGAAGCCTCACCCCGAGCAGTTTGAACCTTGGGTACCACCCGGCGCTATGCCGGACCCCGGGGATCCAAATAGTGTGCCTATCAAGTGCGATTACACGGCAATGGTGGCAGATGGGTATCTCCCCTCGCGCCCAGACGGGAATAGTGAATGGATCCCGCACAAAGATGACCCAAACCTTCATTACAACATCACCACCGATTATGATGCTCGCACTCCCATTGGCACGACAAGAGAAGTGAGTCCTCACAACCTTTTTTCTTCAAATCCCTTGATGACTGACAGCTGATCTAGTATAACATCACTGTCACTGAAAGTGATGTCCAGGTATGGGATGGGAGAGAAATTCGCAGCAGGCCACTTGCCGATGGAAGATATCCAGGCCCGTGGATTCGTAAGTTTCCGCAATCAGCTTGCGATATGAGGATCTAACAAACTCGCATTAGAGGCTTGCTGGGGGGACACAGTCAGTAAGTATCTCCCACCCTTCCGAAGTTGAATGGTCGGCTGAGAAAGGAAGAAATCACTGTCCACAACAACTTGACGGAGGTCAAAAATGGGACTGCAATCCATTTTCATGGGCTTAGATTGTTGAACAGCAACCTTGTTGACGGGGTACCTGGAGTTACGCAATGTCCCATCGCCCCGGGACAGAATTACACGTACATCTTCAATGCCACTCAGTATGGCACATCGTGGTACCACAGCCACTACAGTCTGCAGTACTCGGATGGCCTTCTCGGCCCGTTGACCATCCACGGACCAACATCCGCGGAGTACGATGAACCACTGTACCCTCTTGTAATGTCTGACCACAACCAACGGACCGCCTTCCAAGAATACTATATGGAGCAGTATGGCCCGCCTTTTCCCAACCAAGAGAGCATTCTCATAAACAATCATGGTAGGTGTATCGAGACAGTCGCAGAAAGACAGTCGATATCAGAATGTTGACGGTTGATAGGGAGTTTTGCTGGACAGTTCCCCCAGAACCAGTACACACAGACTGTGCAGAAAGTAAGTCGATTTAAGTACCCCAGCGCGTCAAGGGGGGGGGAGGGACTTTTCTTACCGTGGCGTAGGGAAAAAAATATTCACTGATGCTTATCAACGCCGCGACGGATACCACTTTTGTGTTCGGCATCGATGGGCATACCGTGACTGTCATCGGTACTGATCTAGTGGCGGTCCAACCGTTCGAGACTAACCATGTCCGCCTTGGAAATGGTGGGTAGACAGTCTGATTCTCAGCATGCCACGCCCGACTAACAATGTACTAGGCCAGCGATATCATGTTATCCTTGAAGCAAAGGAAGATGTCCCAGACGGATCATCCTTCTGGATTCGAACATATCCAGCCGAAGGCTGCAATGGTTTCCGTCCCCGGCCACCAGATGCAAGACAGGGAATTCTCTGGTACTCGTCAGGAAATGAAACCTCGCCGCCTGTACCAGAGACAAGCCCTATGAATTACACCATTGAGTGTAAAGACATGGTGCATTATGAACCCGTGGTCAAACGGACCGTTCCCGCGATCCCTCAGCTCGGTGACGGCAGTGTATATGACATAACCGACACTACTATCAGTGTCTGGCAGTGGAATCTTACGAAGGACACTAACTCTGCTCCCGATGACAAGGTATGGTCCTGGAAAATTCTAAAGGATCATGCCCGGGTAGACTACAAAAAGCCGTCAGTGGATCATGTGGACGAACTCGAACCCGGAACTTGGGACCACACCGCGGTTATAGACTCTAAGCCAATGAAGGACGGCGAGGACGTTTGGAACTACATGTTGATTGTCGGAGGGAGAGCTGAAAAACAGGTCGGTGGAGGCATGCTTGTACCTGCCTATCATCCCGTAAGTTTTTTTGTTCTGTCTTTCATCTTGGGACACGCTGTGATTCGGCTAACCGGCATCTGCCCGTATCCAGATCCATCTGCATGGCCATGACTTCGTCGTCCTCAAGAATTCCTCCGACCCATATCAGGGCTATGGTTCACTCGACGACCTCCAACTCGACAATCCCATGCGGCGCGATACCGTCCTCCTGCCCAACAATGGTTATCTAGTGATTGCCTGGAAGTCCGACAACCCCGGCGTCTGGGCATTGCACTGCCATATCGCTTGGCATGCATCTGCTGGTTTGGCTCTTCAGATCGTGGAAGGGAGAGAGGAGCTCAACAAACAACTCGATCTCGAAAATATTTCCAATCTATCCCCCGACGAGGCCTTCCTGGCGCAGCAATACAAGGATACCTGCAGGAGCTGGAGCATATGGCAGGATAATCGGATCGGAGAATTGAATGACGCGAACTCCACGGAGCGTTTCCAGGACGACTCGGGCATTTGATTTGGCCAGGATTTGTCCCCAGACATGGCATAATGAACCCTGCAAGGAAGATAATCAGTGTCGATAATTCAGTCGACACATGAGCTGGCCTTATTTTCATATTTACATTTGAGATAATTGGATATCCGGGGGTGGGAGGAAGAACCGCACGAAGACCTAGGGTCGCGCACTTTACCTGTTGCTAGCCTGATCCGGCTGCCTACTGTATTGATTCCGGTTGAAACCGCCCTGGAATCGCTCCCATTACTTCCTATACTGAAGGAAAGGTGATATAACTATCAAGCTAGACCCGGAAGAGGTGTATATGCATCGATAATATCTCCGACCTATGCTTGTCGATTGCCGTGGGCGTGGAAAGTATACTCCAGGGTATGCTGCACATCGGGGATGGCCAAGCAGTGAGCATGTTGAACGACTCAAGTACGTAGGTATATATGTATGTACGTTGATCTTGGTAGTAGTGATGACTTTCAATAAAGAAGTGGTATGATTAGAATCCAGTACTTAAATTATCTTTGAACTAACTAAATGAAATTACCTACGTGGATACGAGTATGTGGACGTGGTGTTTCAACACAAGTATGAGCAATTGAAAACAATAAGTAACAATAACACACAAACAGACAAACACAACACGGAAGCAATAACAAGGAAAAAGACAAGGACAAGAACAGCAGCAAAAAAATGAGAATGGGAACAAGAACGAAGACAAGAACAGAATAACAACAAGAGCAGAACAAACAAAAAACTAGAAGTAAGATAGATAGAACATAATAGAAAAAAAGTTACCGCCTAGCAACTTTCCGTCTGGGCCTTCGACCACTAGCAGGAGAGTTTCCCTTCGTACGTTTTCTCTTAGCCTGTCCATCAGCCTGCCCATTATGTTGCTCTTCTCCTATACCATCTCCTTGTGGGATTTCCCCTTCTCCTGTATCATCTTCTTGTGAGATTTCCCCTTCATCTGGATCATCCCCATGTGAGATATCATCCTCTTCTTCAGCGCGATTTTCTCTGTTCCGCTGACGCTCGCTTCTTCTTCTTCGTTCTTCTATGTAGAGCAATTCATCGGCTGTGAGGGCCTTGGCTCTGGGAGGTCTGATGGCCTTGTGAGGGTGGGGGCCTTTGGTAGGGTGGACGGCCTTGGTAGGGTTGGCGGCCTTGATAGGGTGGGCGGCCTTGGCAGGAATGAGGGTTTTGGCAGGGTGGGGGGCCAGGGTAGGGTTTATATGCGGAGGGACAGGCGGGGGATCCCGGCTTGCATATGTACCATTGTCATCGTGGGCGGCGCCGCAAACGCAGGGTTTGCCCAGGACCCGAGTCAGCGATCTCACGGGTGGCTTCGGCCCATCAAGGTAAGAGAGGAGGATCTCTTCGCCTTGCTTGATGTTTTTGGTGGCCCATACCATCACGCGGTTCGGTACCTGCCTGTCGTAAGCCCATGCGGCGTTGCTTTTGTCCCCGCAGGCATGGTTGAACATGCTGAACCCAGGGAAGAGATATAGGTTTTTGAAGTCCGGATCGTAGGGTACGAATCTTTCTGGTTCCGCTGTCCATCGGTGCTGCACTCCGGAGCTTGGTAGAGTTTTGTCTCTATATGGTTTATTGGTGCCTCGCAAGGAGCGATCCCACGGGAGGGCGTTGACCAGTAGCTTCCTTAGGACGGTTTGGATCACCCAGGTGTCGAAGCTGAGATCGCGGAAGATGTCCACCCCTAGTTGCATTAGGATGTTGAAGGGGACTTGGATGTTGGCTGCCAGGGTGAATGGGAAGCTCCGCGAGTCCCAATCGTGGTGGTCTTCTAGGACGAGAAGCTCGTCGATCTCATGGGCCATGAGATGTGGATTCTGCCCACGCCTGTGGAGTGTGACGTCAAACACCTCTCGTAGAAGAAGGCTCAGCAGCGTGCCATGGTCCTCATTGGTGTGTGAAAAGTGGTATTTGCCGTCCGTGAGGTAGACGGATGTGCAAGGTCGCATGGCATCATGGAGCCATCCCCAGCTCTTTCCGCAGGCCCCAAAATGGTAAAGTTGTCGAGCAATCTGCGCGCAAGACAATTGGCCATCTTCTAGAATTTGTGCTGGGCAGAAGTAGACTGTCATCTCTGCATCGGCACATTTGCACCCTTCAGGATGATCGTCTCCGGTCAACTGGTTTTTGATTTCGTCATATCTGTCCATGGTGTCGGGTGGGATATCCTTACGGCAATTCTCACACCTAGTGTCGTCGTATTCGAGCGGTGGTTCTTTTCCATACAATCTAGAACAATGGACATGCCCTCTCATCGAAGGTTCTTCTGCAAAAATCAGACCTCGACTCGGGATATCTTCCGCTGCGAACACCCCGAGGCCCGGCTTCTGGTCCTGATCCTGGTCCTGGTCATCGGTGGTAGTGGCGTCGTCGGGAAACATTCTCTTGTCGATCTTACACGACGTCCAAATAGGCCGATTGTTCCCAGCAAACAGATGTTGGCTCAGTCGGTCCACGAATTCGTCATCGTAGCGGGATTTATCATCCAGCTCAAATGGGTATCTTCGGCCACCAGGGATGCTCCCGCTGTTCGTCTCGTGGAAGAGAAAAGGCCCCGCCCCTTTCTTCCTCTCGCGTATGTCATCGAGGCACTGCTGCTTCACGATCAAAAGCCTGTTCGTGAAGGGCTCCGAGTCACGCGCCGGCATGATGGCTTTCTGTCTGAGATTGTTCTCCATAATCTTATGGTCGTTCCAATCCTGGAGCGCGAGCAGACTGAGATTGGTGATATTCTGGGCGGCCTTCCGAAGGGTCGGGATGAAAGAGTTGACTCCGTTTCCCCGGCGCATCATCTCCAACGCGTCTACATCCCGTTCATCATTCCCCATCGCAGCAACCGTAATATGCTCTTCGATCGCATGCCAAATCGACGTGTAGAGCTTGGACTGCCGGTTCCGCAGCAGCGGGTCAAAGAGCACTTCGTACAGGAGTTGCGCGCGGTAGGCATCTCCAATGGCCAGGTCAAAGAATGCCTGCTGATAGTGGCAGTAGGCTCTGCTCAGCCAGTATGCCGGGTTGTAGGGGCTCAATATAATGGCGCAGGTGTACATCTCGAGACAATTATAGCGCTTGTTGTTCCCGTCCTCCAGTCGGATCGTATATCTTGCACCAGCTCCTCGGGTGATCCCCCAGTGCGAGAGATCGCTGCGCCGCAGAAAGCTATATCGCTCGTGGTAGTAGAGGCGTTCGCGTAACTCGCGTGAATTCAGACCTCTGGAGGGGACCCCGCGCCTCTCCAGTTCCTCTCTCAACTGGATGACCGTCCAGTAGGTCGAGGTCAGGACATCGTACCCATGGACCCGAACGACTTTGGTCCTGTCGCCCCGTAGATCGTCTAGAATCTCCCTATAGCTCCAACTCCTTCGGTCCAATCCGGTCGCCCGCCATTTGGCCTCCCATTCCCCATCTGTTGGCGGCATTAAATTGTCTCGCATCAGATGATCATAGACGTTCTTGGCCAAGACATGCATCGGCATGGCCGCCGTTTCCTCATCCGAGACTGGATCCAAAAAGCGAGCTTGGTCATCCATGGTAGCCCCCAACTCCCCATCTGGAAGAGACCACAAGCGGTAAGCCACTTTCGCATCGTCGCGACACACATGCGGCGCAAAGGTCACCTCGCTGTGCAAGTTGGGCGCCGGTGGAAAAGGAGCGCGCTTGATGGCTCCGGAGGGTGGAGGTCGCTCATAAATTGCTCTCCAACGGTCTCTTGGGTCTTCGGCCATGGCTGCAAAAAGAAAAAAAGAAAGAAAAAAAAAGGATGCGATTGTAGATGTATCAAGGGTGGACCCGATAGGATGGATATTGCAATATAGTGAGAATTGACTCGATGAAAGAGAAACAGGTTGCTATATGATAATAACAGACAGACTCAGAATCATCTGGGTCAGGACGGGGGTGTTGCGCGCGTAGAAATGTCATGGAGGACAAAGGAATGGCACATCTGGGACGGCGCGCGAGCACTCTTCTGATCTGGGAAACAAAGAAGCATCTTGAACCCTTGGTTGTTCTTGAAAGAAGTGTCATTGCCATGTCTGTAGTGGTTGTGTTCCTTTGTTCTGAGCGGTGGATTTGGGGTGAAAGAAGTGGCGAAGCATGTCATATTTTCCGACTGTGAAGCAGTCCATCCACTATACTACCCTATACGGGCCTATAGAAGCGATGAGATGGGAATCCCACTAGTCGTGTCTGGGGTCAATGGTGGTTCCTGTGGAGGTTGCGCACTAAAGCCCTTTTAGTACGTACTAAATATAGTCAACCAATTCCGATCCACTGCTTTGGAGGAAAGGAGAACAGCAGTGATAATCGGAACAATCAAAATAGAATCCAGTAGTCAAGATAAACAAAATCAAAACGGGGGGAAGTAACAAGAGAAGTTGAAACCGGGAGTGATTCAAGAAGAAGAAGAAGAAGAAGAAGAAGAAGAAGAAGAAGAGGGCAGATCATCACGGGATCCAGTTGATCAACAACTCCAGGTCATCCGATCTTCACTCTCTCTCTCTCTCTCTCTCTCTCACTTGACCCTCTTTCCTCTCGTTTATTCCTCTCCCCATCTCCTCCCCTCTTAAGTTCATCCCTTCATCTTCATGATTTACGGTCATCTCATACTCGCTTAATACCCCTCTTCTTGGATTTTCTATCCTTGGCCTGCGCCAGTTATGGCTGGATCCAATCCTTACTCGAATCCCTCAGGTCCGCAGGCTTTTGGCCCATCGCAACCAGAATGGCGTCTGTCACCACATCCGCAACAGCCAGCAAGGCCTCTGAACGCCGTATCCCCTCCACCGACTTCAGTCCCGACATACAACCCGAATACGTATGGTCCCATGTCCGGTGCATCTCAAACAACCGCGACGACCGGCGTAGGCCTGTCTCCGGTTCAGCGGCCTGGGACAGGCATGGACACCACGGCGTGGGGAGTGAAGTTTAATCGCCCGCCACATATCAAAACCCCCCCACCACTGCCGGTGAGTGCCCGAAGAAGAAACTAAACCAACCGAGTGTGACGACTGGAAATAGCCCCTAACCCATGCTGTCGCATAGCCACGACCATCAAGTACAAACCAGGACTCGTCTCCACTGGTGAGCCCGCTGGACTCCAATAGGCCACCGTTTCCGCCGGCGCATAGCCAGCCATGGTTCGCGAACACTCCCTACGCCCCGCCTCCATCCCACTCGGGTGCCGCCTTGCTTCCTCCGCCCCCGCCCCCGCCCCCACCTCCGCCGCCTTTTCAGTACAATGACCTGGCCGAACGACCACCCCCTCAACCCTCGTGGACTTACCAAACACAACTGACCTCCGAAGCTCCTCACTCCACGATCGCTCCACCAGTGCCCCCCAAGACTAGTCATAGCGCTCTTCCTGCCAATCCCCTTACCGGATTCGTCGGGCCTTCGGACTGGGAACATTTTTCTGCCGACCACGGATACATTGAAGATGCAGAAGCCATGCAGCCGAGAAAGGATACGACCCCTTCGCGGCAGTCGACCACAACACTGTCCCCGAAGGATTGCACCGCTGTACCCAACGCGCCGCCCGCCACCCATCCGTCCGCGGCCGCTACGCCACCGTCAAATGTGTCACCGACGATCCGGATTGCGCATGCCCATGAGGATACCGGGATGCAGTCCAAGTATTCGCCGGTGAGCCCGGGAGTCGGATACGCACCTCAAGATCCCTCCACACCCGTCCGAGTAGACAGCGCGAAGTCCGAGTACAGTGACATTGCCGGCGCTGAGACCGCAGAGCACATTGATGGGCTGATCGAAGCCTGGAATCAGCCGGTGCGGGCAGGAACGGATACCTTGGCCCAAGCACCGTCCCCATTGCGGCAAAAAGTCAGTCTAACAGAAACGCCTAAGCCCACGCAGGATTTTACGAGCCATCAAAAGAACATGCAACTACGCATAGATACGGGGGGTCCAAGTCCCACCCCCGGTGGCGCAAATGTGCATACAGGGGTGCCGGTGACCCCTGCGAAGGCCGCCGATCCTTGCGAGAACTTGGAGCCTTGGTCGAAATCCTCTCTGGAGCGATTTGTGGCAATGCTTCATAAGGAACAGGTCGCCGATTCCGATGCGGAGCGCTTTAAGATCTTTACTGCCTTTATGGCCAAGGAAACGAAGCTTCGAGAGATCCTATATAACGTTGAACAAGGCCCAAAAACTGAAGAGGACACCGCCAGGCAACAAGCGACCCCGAAGGGGTCGCCGGCGGAACGATCAGATGCCGTCACCCCTTTTATTGACTCTGGCTTGATACCGGTGGAGCTGGAGGAGGACAACTTTCAGACACCTTCGTATCCTGCGGAAGCGGAAGATCCTGAAAATGGAAGTTACAGTCCCGGCGGGCGCCCCATACTACCCAGGCTATATACGCCTGCCAATGTGGATCTGCATCGGTCTGTCTCGCAACCAGGCTCCCACAAGTACGGCTCCGACAAGAACACACATGGCCCATCCGCGCGGTCCACGTCGGTTCCCCCGTCCAGCGATAATAGCCAACAGAAACCGGAGTTGACCCCTTTGGCGACAAACCCCCCACAAGCAATATATACCCCGTTCCGCTACACTGAAGGTCCTCAGAGGGGCTCTGACAAACTGAAATTCGACCGGCCTGCACACCAAGCTTACTCGGCTTTGCGCCAGGCGTCTGCAGAAAGCGGACGGCTCATGGCGAACGCGCCGATCCCGCGTCCCGCGACGGCATCTCAGGGCCTGGATAACCAGGACGAGACGTTCATTGGTCTCATCCGAGAGAAAAGTGTCGCCTATAGGACGAGCGAAGGCCAAGGAACATCTTCGCCCTCGCTGTTACCGGCTTCCCTGCGACAAGGAAAAACGCCTGGACCATTGGATGAGCTGCGCTCGATGGTCTCCAGGCCTCTCACCAAGCAGTCGGAGAGCTCATGGCATGTCACCACGAGGAAAGAGCTCGAAAGCTTTCCGGACAATTTCAGCTATATGGCTGAGACTCTAAAGTCGACCGAAGAGTCTCGCAGGTCTCGTCGGGAAGAACTAGACAAGGAGCGAATGCGCCGTCAAGAGGAGTCAGAGGCGCATATCGATGCGCTGTTTAACGACAAGGAGATCGGGTATGCCGATATCAATCTTCTGGAGGAAGAATTCCGTCAGACAGAAGCACGGGCTCAGTTAGAGGAAGAACGGCGCGAACTAGCAGACTTCATTGCGACTGTTTTCGATCCCTTGGATGGTCGATTGAATGAAGAGATATCGTCTCTTCGAACCCAGTATGATTCAGCACTAGCGCAGCTGGACAACGAAAGCAGCAAAATCAAGGAGTCGAGCAAAGACAGGTCCAGTCTGTCACATACGATGAAGACTGTCAATTCAATCTATCAGAAGCTAGAGATCCGTTACCAGAAACGCTTGGGGATTGCCCTGGATCGCGAGCGTCGCCGGAAGAAGGCCGAAAGACGACCGCTCGTTTTCATGGGCGATTCACTTGCTTTGAAACAGCTTGATAGCGAATTTGATCAGATGGAGCGACGGAACATCCTGGAAGCGGCCAAGGATCGCGATGACCGCGCGAACAGGCTCATGGACTCTTTCGACGACGCGATCATGCACGGACTGGGAGAGAACCAGCGTCTGATTGATGAGATCTTTGCCAAGGTGACAGGTTTGGATGCATCAGCTCTGCAGGCCTCTGGCTTGGCCGATGCCGAGATAGAGCAGACCTTGAAGTCGATTTTCACTTTGGTAGAATCGCTTCGGCAGGACTCGGAGTCCATACTCCACGATTTCGGGGTCGCGGATTCGGGGCTCAACAATGCAGATTACTGTGTCTCTGTTGCGGAGGCACGATACTCGAATGCCGACCCAAGTGTCTCCCGCAGACTGGACCAGGAGAAGAAGAAAGAAGACGCTAAGATTCAGCATGATCTTGCCTCCAAGCTGGACAGCATCCGCGCTGGGCCGGCGGAGATTACTTCCAACGTCAATAAAATCCTTGCGTCCATTGGAAAAGCCCCTGTGGTCGAACAAGTGATTCCATCTGAGTCCGCCCAAACCGACCACCCAATCGACAGTCTGCTCCCTGGGCCTCGAGCACCCACCGTCGGTCCCGCTACCAACCCCCCGTCCGAAGATCCGGACCATTGGCAAAGGCTGCGAAAGGCACTAGATGATGCAAAGAAGAGAAATGCCGCCCGAGTCAAGACTTAACTCAATGTAGGTTGCGTTTCATCCACAAAGGCGACGATGGATTCATGAGGTTACGAATTTCTTTTTATACCCCTTTATACGATGTTCTTTCTCGCACTGTTATGCGTTTTGATATATCGAAGAGTAGGAACATGTAGATTCCTGTTGGTTTCAAAGAATAATTCTTCAGCCTGGACTCTTACTACCCATTGTTTGAATAGTTGAGTCGTTCAATTTCCTCCATTGTATTGGTCTTAGCTTAGTAGTTAGTACTTTTGACTAATAGTAATGTCTTCATTCCTATTCACAATAATCCCCTTTCATCTTCACCAACATTTACGTTTCGCATCGGCCCTTTGTATCTTGTTTCGTTAGGCAGCGGGGTGGCCACTGGGACGTAAACTGCCAGCTCTACACTGAATCACTTGTGCCAGGCCCCCACAAGGCTTGGATAGCCCTCACTAGAAAACCACCACAAACGATTGGTAACTATGATGTTCCCCATTGGAATCCTCTCCCCGTAAGTCCTGTGGCTGATAATCATACGCCTATAAAATCCTGCCGAATAGTACCTGCGCCGCGCTCCTCAACGAGCCATGGCAACCGCAGGTGGCGCATTGGCTGAGAGCCTTACTGTGCCACTTTGATCTATTCGATATTGGTTACTGGATTGTTCACACATCATACCAAATATTATGACGAACTATACTCCCTATCTACAATATTCGAGCCTCATCCTTCTACTGCCCCGTCTATGGGGTACTGCCGTCTGATCTACCACGTCAGATAATGATACAAGGTCGCCCATGTGCCTCTACTAGGTACCAAAGTGTCTATTACCATAACAGTCACATAGGTAAGTTCACGATATGGGACAAGGACTGGAACGCCTCCGTTCATGTTGGTCGGTCATAATCAAGCCGAGTATGTGGCTCTGTGCTTCTTGTAAGGCACGGTCTAGATATGATCCGACCCTCATGGCCTTTAACACTGCCGTTTCAGGCCTCATGCATTGCTACCGCAACTCCCATACGAGTGCAGCGCGTGACACATAATTATTACTTGAGGGAAGTCAAGACAAAGGAAGAGGATCTACTCTGCGCCTGCGCCACACAGGATGATGACAAAGGAAGCATATCCTCCTGTCGATTGGTTCCTGTGTCAGTTCCCGTCTGTTGCAATTTGAATGGAGTCGTACCACGAAGGAACCTAAACTCGTGACCGAGGATTCATGCGCCAGCTCTTGGATTGCTTGCCCGCTGCACGGTTTTTGAAACCTGGATATCTCGACAGTGCTGTGCCATAGTGACACCATCTGGCACAGATCTCGAATTACAGTATTGAAATCTCATGTGCATCGGGCATCCTTCCTCTCGTCGAGGTCTAGGCTATTCCTATGCCGCTAGCCACGAATCGATAACCCTGGATAACGAATCTAGGGTTCTGGTTTCTAGACGTAGGATATGCAATGACGAGTCTTCTCCTGTGCCCTTGAAGGAATGGCAATACTGGTGTCTGCGGCAGCCCTGCGAGATTCCATGTAAGGGCCATGGCGATGCGGCAAAGGCAGACGCGGCTGAAAGTGCGGCGCACGCAATTACCTGCTCTCTTTCTAAAACCGTAGGGTTGCATATACAGATCGAATTATTATGTGCCAGTCAGTGGTAACTGTGGTTCAGTTGCCCGCTCTCATCCATGGTTCGTGATAACTCTATAAATCCTCGGCTCGGAACACGCAGTTGCTCTACCAAAATCGACAACAGTTGTTCCCTTCGAGACTACAAAAGTATTCATTCAAGGAATTGTTGTCCTATTCAATCAAACAATCGATCCTCTCATGTCACTCCCTACAAAGCGTTTGCACCGGCTCTCGATTAGCAATGACATGCCTGATCGACGTTCTCTAGGAGAGGGACCTGCCCGTCCTGACAGTGGGCAAATTGAAAGCAGCACAGACGAAAGCGAATCCGATGAAGAAGTGTTTTCTAAAATGCACACGATACAGGGAAGCTCCGGCATCAAATACAGTCTCGACAAGCTGGAGAACGACGCCGAAGCGAGAGCTCTTGTCGGACTAACGAGCGAATTTGATATTACCACTTGCAGCAAATGGCCAACGGGCTATCGTTTTCAGCTCTCAGAGCATCAGCAGGTGCACGTTGGCCCGGATGGCTACACTTGCACTTGCTTGACGTTTTTGAGCTGCCCTACTGTGGCGTGTCAGCACATCTTCGTGAGTTCACTGCGCTAAAGCCATTCCTCAGCGCCATACTAAGACCAAACCAGTGGCTTCTCGATCAGCTTCACAGCAACTTCACCCCCCAAGACACCTCCAACACCATCCCACTCTCAAGCGACGGCCACCCCCCAGGCCACCCCCGCATCGAGCACCTCCTCCACGGGAAACTAGAACAGATCGCAGACCAACACAACTGGCCCTACACCCGCTCCGAATCCGAAGGCGGCATGACCCGTCCCCAAAAAGTAAAAGACATCATGACAGCCTTCAACCCGACCATCCTCCCAGAAGATTTCCGTCCCGATCTCAAAGACGACACCGCGCACCGCCGCACCCCAGAGCAGTGCGTCGTCCAGGGTGACTTCGAAGCCACTATGTTCAGACTAGCCACCCACGACGACGCGGTCTACTCCCGTCTGTGCAAGGCTATGCCCCCCGGCGCTTGCGCAGCTATCTACTTTGATAAAATTCAAGGACAGTCCCGGAAATTACTCGCTGATTTCGACCGCTACGCTCTGACGGGCCACCTCCCCGCTGAAAACAACGACAACAGCCCCATAGACGTCCGCGCCGTCCTCCACGAAATTCAACTCAACGTTCACCGCATTCAAAACAACATCATCGCGCGCGCTCCACACGGCACAGAAAGCGCATCCAAAGCCCTCATCACGCTCCTCGAGGACATCTGCAACCGCAACAAAGACGCCCTAGACGGCAACAGATGGGGCCGGACGACCTTCCACGGCGAAGACGAGGACAACCGCAACCTGTACCATCAGCTTATTGGCACTGCCGAGGAAACAGGGCGCTGTTTTGTGCTCGATGCGCTGGAGCATCTGCCTGCGTCGGCGCTTCACCAGTTTGGGGATAGGTTGATGGGTGTTCAGCGGAAGGCCGAGGTCAATCGTGCGCCGAAGGCGTATATATTGAAGCTTGGGGGGCTTGTGAGGAGGGCTGAGGCTGTGGGGGCAGTGCTGGGTCAGAAACGATTGTCTACGGCTGTGCCTAGGGGGCAGAGTAAGCGGACGCGGTAGGGGTGGGTTGGTTGATGGGCTGGGTTGAGTCTGGTTGGATTGGTGGGCTTTGTGTGGTTTTTTTTTGTTGTAATACCCGGTGTTCTTGTGTTCTTTTGTTTGAGATTGTTATGAAATGGTTTCTCTGATGGCGGGACTGGCAATTGCACTCTGGACTGCATTCTATTATAAGCTAGAATATCTGGGAGACTCCTCCCAAGACCGAGAAACAGACCGTAGCTACTGCAGTGATAAGGCCCTTAGACATGTATTCTCTGCTTCTGCGAGTAACCCGCAGATCTGCATGCAAGTGTGCTAGGCCGTAGCTTCTATAGGTTGTGTCGATATCAAGGATGTACGTTGCAGTTTCTTCGTTTATTTAATCAAAATTGACCTCGCATATCAATCATACGTAGTAAATACACATTTTCCTCATAACATCCAATTCGGAACCTTCCATCACTTGAGCATGGCATCATCATCATCCGTGAGACCAGCATAGATTGCAGATCAAAGCCAAACCACAAACCATCGCCAAACAGATCTTCAAGGTGCTAAGAAAAAAAAAGAAAAAAAACAGACTACTCTCTGGACAGATCGAGAACAACCCGTCCCTGCACCTTACCGGCCTCCATGTCCTGGAATACCTGGGTCAAATTCTCCATTTTCTCAGTCCGGAAGTGCGACTTGATCACACCGCGCGCGGCAAACTGCATCGTCTCGATCGCATCGGTCCGGTTGCCCACCGCTGATCCGGTAATCGTGTAGTGCTTGCCGATCATGGCGGCCGGGAATGCCGAGGCGATAGCCTGGGGATCATTCTCAGGCAGACCCACGCAGACCATAGTGCCGTTGAAGCGCAGGAACAACAGTGACTGAGCGTAGGCGGCGTTTGATGCCGTGCAAACGACCGCAGCATGCGCGCCTAGACCGTCGGTCAGTCCCTTGACATGTGCGGAGATGGCCTCGCCCTTGTCGTCTGCGGGGAATTTGGTGATGTCGACGAAGTGCTCGGCTCCTGACGCCTTGACGAGCTCTTCTTTGCTGCCGTGGTCGACGCCGATCACGCGCAGGCCCATTCCTTTGGCTGCGAGCTGCACGCCTAGATGGCCCAGTCCACCGCCGGCTCCCGAGATCACGACCCACTGACCCGGACGGGCGTTGCTGCGCTTGAGGGCGGCGTAAACGGTAACACCGGCGCAGAGCATGGGAGCAGCCTCATCTGAGGGCAGCCCTTCCGGGATCGGGGTCACATAATTGGCGGGGCCCAGGGCGTACTGCTGGAAAGTGCCTGGGAAGTAATAACCCGAGATTTGCTGGTTGAAGCACAGCCCGTCGGCGCTGGCATGGCAGGGCTCTGTGCTCCGTCAGTACTACGCTCCAATTCCAACATTCGGCAAAATTGGTTTAGTGGGAAGCAAGAGACATACGGCAGTTTCCACAGGCATTGGCGACCCACTTGATTCCGACACGGTCACCGAGCTTCAGGCCCGAGGACTCCGCCCCGGGGCCCAGCTTCACGACCTTGCCGACGCCTTCGTGGCCGCCAACCTGGCCGGGCTGAGTCGGATAAGGAAAGAACTTCCACTGCGGTGGGTCAGTTCCCACGACCGATCTATTTTAGCGGAGGGGCTGCGGAAGATCTTACGGAATTGGTCATGACACCAAGGTCGGAATGGCAGACACCTGAGTGAGTCCTTTGGCGACACGTTAGTGAATTGGGATTCGAAGATGATTCGGATATTATGTCTCCAATGCTTGACTTGTGATGGGTACGATACAATCAACAGGTGTTCACGTACAGATTGATCAAAACCTGGCCCGCACCGGGCTCAGGAACATCCGCCTCGACGACTTTGGTTGACACGGTGCCAGGCTGGTCATAGATGACCGCTTTCTGCTTGGTAGGTATTTCAGGGGCAGCCATGGTTGCAGTATATTCGGTAGGGAGTGATGTAGTTATGATGGTGGGAGTTGGTCGACAGGGTGATTATGTATGTTGATAGTGGACAAGACAGCGGAGAGGATTGCAGGGACAAGGGCAGCAGGGGAACCAACGGACATGAGCCCCTCTTTATATAATGGAAAGGGAGCAGGGGAAGTGAATGAGCCCATCAAAGGGAATCAATGCCAAGTAGGTGGCATCGGTGATGATCAACCTAGTTTAGACCGAGGAGAGGAGAAAGTGGGGAAGCTGACTCCCTGCACTCTCGATCCATTCATTAGTCCAGTTATGGAGTATCTGTATCCTGGATAAAAATGTTGCTAGTGAATACGATATTTTTATGCACCTGTGCTTTATTTCTTCGTTTCACTCTTCTCTTCTGTGGCTTGGTGGAGATTAGTACATTCTGCTATCTCTTAGTGGATAGATGATCAGTGGAGTCATGAGATGTTGCAAACCCAAGCCAGTACAGATGAGGGGTAGAGAGATTGTCTCACTGGAGCGTGAAAGACCTCGGTAAGTTCGTGAATGTTCTCTGGCAGTTCTTCTATGATATCAGGTTAGAGAGATGTAGTGGTGGAAAAACTATGGATTTATATGACGATATATATCGGCAGTGGGCAGTCTCGTGACATGGACATTTGGCCAACCCTTTTGATGGATTATGACACTCCCAGATCATTACAAAAGACAAAAAACAAAACAAAATGAAACATAAATATAATTGAATATTACGCATAACAAGACAGTATATTAAAATAATAGTACTGACCGCGGCAGCATGGTGACCATCAAAAAAAGGATGTGGAGATTATGCGGGGTTGGATGGGTGGTGGCAGCCTCAGGCACCCGGCGCATCTCAATGATCGACTTTCGACTTTCTTCTCTTCTCTGTCTTCATCCATTCGACTCTTCCTGCGTGTCTCTTGGTCAGTCGCACGAAAGGGGTTCGGTTGATCTCTTCAGCTTATCCGAGCAATCCAACACTGGGAAATCAGATTATCCGCAGCCTGACATCTACCTCGGGACGACAATCAGTATGTTTGATCGATGACCGAGCAACGTGTGTCTCTTCAGTTGCGCGCTTGAACACATACAACACCCACCGGTGTCCGCACGGTACCAGGCCAAACTCGACAGCTATGGCATCAATGGCGTCTGCTCAGGAGGTTTCACTCCATCTCTCAAACCATCAGGATAAAGACAGTGCAGACGAGTCCTGGTCCGCGCTGGATAGCGACAATGGTCGTCCTGGTCGGAACGGGTCTAGCGAATCCCATGGCTTGAAGCGAAAGCGCCCCCTCGCCGTCTCGTAAGTATGGCCGTCTACTAGTCTTCCCGGATATTTTTCTTGACCCATTCAGCTGACAAACCCAGATGTGAGCTGTGCAAGCAGAGGAAAGTCAAATGCGGTATGGAACATCTCTTGATACTGTTGGATTTCCCATATGTAGCAGCTAGATACACTGTGCAAGATCCCATTGCTGATTCACTTCCACAAGATCGTGGCCGCCCCGGGTGTGGATGGTGCTCCCGTAACGGCCAGCTATGTGAGTATAAAGAACGGAAAAAACCAGGCCTTCGAGCAGGTTACGGCAAGGAATTAGAGCAGAGACTCGGTTGGTCGACCTTCGTTCCATAGGTGTTTGATATTTGCTGAATCTTGGCTAGACCGGCTGGAGGAAGTCATCCGGATACAAGGGCGACTGATTGAAACACACATCATTCACAATCAGCCACATGTGAACCATGACCCATCGGGAACTCATGGGCCCAGTCCGCACAATGCCTTGGAATCATCATCCCTCACCAGCCCTTCGGACATCTCCGACAAGAATCCGTTATATCACCACTTGTCCGGAGGCTTTGCTCCGCCGCTCCCGCCGCAGCCTTTATCACATGTCTCAAATACAGTCCCGTCGAGTGATTTCTCCGGAAACGAATCGTCCTTGAAAGTCCCAGTCAGCTTGTTCTCCAACCAGGAACAGTCATTTGCAGATCCCGAGCTCGATCTCCCCCCGTATGATCTGTTGTATGCCCTGGTGGACCTCTACTTCGAAAACATCAACACATGGTGCCCGATCCTGCACCGTCGAACCACCTTGCATATCTTCTTCGGCCCGTCTCCTCTCGATGAAGCGGATCGCATGGTTCTCTATGCGATAGTCGCCACCACCCTCCGTTTTTCGAGCGATGCTAGACTGAGCGAACGGAATCGTAAGCGTTACCACGACTCCTCCAAACAGAAGGTGCTTCTCTATGGCCTGGAGAACTCTTCAGTCAAAGCCCTCCAGGCGCTAGTGATATTAGCCTTGGACCTGGTAGGGTCTTCGAACGGGCCTCCGGGATGGAAGTTGCTGGCTCTCATCACGCGATCCGTGGTCCAACTGGGGCTGGCCGTGGAAGCCAAATCCGCCCTCATCGCCCCCGTTTATCCCTCCATCTACACTCTGAGAGCAATCACTTTGCCTGAGCCAGAGACCTGGATCGAGGACGAAAGTAGACGCAGGCTGTTCTGGATGGTGTACCTCCTGGACCGCTACTCCACCATCGCTACCGCGTTTGATTTCGCATTGGACGACAAGGACATCGATCGCAAGCTGCCGTGCAAAGACGAGTATTTCGCCAAAAATCAGCTGGTGGAGACCCGACGGTTCCACCACTCCGGTGATCGAGCGGATTATTCCAGTCGTGCCGACTATGTCGGTTCCTTTGGACTTTACGTCGAGATCCTCGGCATCCTCTCGCGCATTCATCTCTTCCTGAAACGCCCCGTGGATATCGGGTCTCTTTCCGGCGTGGAGGAGTGGCAGACGACGTACCGCAAATTGGACAGTGAATTGACGTCCTGGGAATTCGGCCTCCCCCCTGAATACGTGTTTGAGGATTCGCCGCGGTCCAGCGGATCCAAGCACAATAAAGATATCCACTTGGGCTGGGTCCAACTCCATTCCACATATCAGACGTAAGCTGGAGTATCCCTAGGGTGGCCACCAATCTGCAAGCTAAAGCAATCTCCAGAGCTGTGATCCGCCTCCATTCATCGGCTGCGTACCCGACCACGCGGTCACCGATCTTCACCCCATCCTACAGCGCCAGCCAAAGGTGTCTCCTGGCAGTCGATAACATCCTTTCGGTAACACGCTTCGTAGTAGATAACAACATGCTCGACAAGCTCGGCCCACCATTCGCCTTCACCCTCTGGGTATCAGCTCGCCTACTCCTCGTCCACGGATCCACCATCGCCCACACCGTGAACCCCAACATCACCTTCTTCGTCGACACTCTCGCCCACATGGGAAAACACTGGAAAGTAGCCGAACGCTACAGTTCAATCCTGCAGCGCGTCCTCGACGAATACGGCGAATACCAACAATCCAGCGCAGACGACGCCGAGCGCACAACCCCCTCAACAGTAAAAATCCTCGCCGACATGCGCCGCTGCGCCTTCGACCTAGACTTCCTCATCTCCCGCCAACCGCGCTCCTCCTCCTCCCCAGCCGGCCCCGCACCCGCCTCAACACCCGCTATCCCATCTCGCAGCCTGGCCACAAACGAACTGGAATATCTCGATGTCTTCGGCTTCTTCAACGTCCCGCGTGTCCCTGCACCACGCGCCCTTGACATGTCTGCCGGTGTCGATCTCAATGAACCCGTCAGCGACCCCATGTCGATCCATGGGCTGACGGCGGCGGCTAGCACTGTTGAATCGCTCGCTGATAGCGCCCATGCAAATACAAACGAATTTAATATCACTAACTATCTTGTTCCGACGCCTGAGACGGACTGGCTTTTTCGTCCGGGGTGATCTACAAACAGGCATGAACCTCAAACCAATAGCCCGAAATATATACAATGAGCAGGGTCTCTACCATGAGAGACAACTCTAGCATTACAAGACAGATCCGCAAATGGGAGCTTCCGCCTTAGAAAAGGGTCCGACTGCGTGCGTTGTGCACTGGTACTAGAACGATAGGTAGAACAGTTCGCACACGGTCAACTCGTATATGACCTCATCGAGTGAGCTGACCTGGACCAACTCGACTTTGTCAGCCACACGAAAGGCTTTATGTTGGCACGTTCGCACAGAAGCTTCTACAAGGACAGGGGTATGCTCAAACGGTGCCTGGTGCCGTTTGTAGCGGAGGCCATATAAGTGGATCAACCGTCATTGATTGCCCACCCACCTAACCTTGGGGCTATATTTAAAGACAGACTCATGAGCGTGGGTTCTCAACAAACGGGGCTCTCTGGATTAGATCCGTTATTCCTGGGTTGGTGGACGTTCTTACGCTCTTAGCTGGCTCTAGCATCACATATGCTAGAGCAATGACTACGCCCTTCTGTGAGGCGCCAATGTATATTGATTGTCATCTACCGAAACACCCGGAGAACAATATCTTGTACAACAAGAAACAAATCCTTTTTATTGTATTCTGCTTTCGCCGAACTCTGTTATGCACATGCCTGTCGGGTTCGACATCCGAGATCAAGGGGAGGAAAGGGGAAAGGGAACATGGAGGGAAAGAAAAAAAGAAAAGGGAAAAGAAAACAAAATCATTCAAGTCATAACAACGATTTCACAGATCATACAGCTCTAAGAAGAGAATCCAGAGTCCCGAAGCCGTGACGCACAGCACATCACAACAGAACAGAGGAGAAACAAACGGCCGTGTCGAACTGAGATACATTCCACATATCGTAAGAATCGTGTTCAGCCGGCCACCGACTGACAGGCAGGCAGCCGACACTCTAGCGCTGTTGGGGCCAGATAAGAGAGTAGGAGAGCCGGTGAGACCTAGCGTCCGACAGTAGTTGGGTCATCGTCAGCTGGTTCGATCCGAACTAACATTTCTTCGAGAAACCCTTCTAAGAACGTCCCGACATCTGAGCCCATGCCGACGGGTGCCTCGACGTCCCAACGGTCAATCCGGGCGAACAGTCCGCACAAGTCACCCACGAGGGCTTCCATCATCTCCTGGACATAAGCTCGGCGCGCGTGAAACTCTTGTTCATCAAAGGTGCTTTCGTTGGGGTTTAGCTGCGAGTTGCGCGCAACATGTTCGTAGCGACGGGCGCGACGGCGGATGGCTGCCCTCAATGCCGGGACTATGACGCCGTTGAGAGCTGTCAGCTCATTTGATCGTGGCCCATTCATGATAACCTGTAAGCTGGCGTCAATGCTCCTGTGGAGCTGGCTGAAGTTGCTGGAGATCCCGGCAGGCTGTGAGCTGCGGAAAGGCTGCGAGCTTCGCAAGGGCTGCTGACTGCGCAGGGGCTCTGGTTGGAGCCGTGGAGACGATTGTGGCTGAATCGGAGGCGAAGAGTGCCGTGGGGTCGGCGGAGGTCTTGACTGTGGACTGGCAGGCATCTGGCGTTGATCCAGACGTGGCTCCATCGAAGACCGGGCGGCCGGCCCTAGAGGGTTCCGTGATGGTGAGGGTGAGGGCGATGGCGGCATGTGGTCCTGGGATGACAGAACAGGCGATGACTGGGGTAGAGGAACCTGCTGGGGACCTTGACTGCTCGCAGCTGTGTGACGCACCCCAGAGCTCAGGGAAGTGGCTGGGGATTGGTCAAGCTGGAGAAAAGATAGGTCCTGGGCCAGTGCCTGCTGAAGAACCCTGTCATAGTCACTGCCTGGGCTTTCTTTCGGTTGCTGCTGAATGGGTCTGTGCAGATGTGCAGGCGTCTGGGGTCCAGCCTCCGCGGGTGCCTTCTTCACGGGGGAAGGGGGTAGTGGGACTTTGGCGGGGGACAAGGCTCTGGGTGCTGCGGAGACTTTCTTCGGTGACTCCAATTTCGACGATGAACTGGCTTCTGGCCTGGGCGTCTCCTCGGGAGTGCTATCTTTCAGGTCCCACTCTACTGGCTCGTTGCTGCGGGTGTTCATGTCTGCCTCTTTCAAGGGTTTGAGGCCGGGAGCTCGTCCTGCCGGGCGGACGGTGCCAAAGTCCCACAGATCGTCGTCGTCTTCGTTGGCGACCATCTGGCTCGGCGTGTGGTCCAGGGTGCCTCTGTCTTCGTCCTCACCGTTCTTATTGCCGTTCATGGCATTCCAGCGCTCCGAACGCTCAATCAGCTCGGTGAGGTAGCTAGTCTTTTTGGCCCTCTTGACAAACGGATGCTCCAGCAATTCTCTAGCCGATGGGCGTTCTCTGGGATCGCGACGTAGACACAGGTCGACAAAACTTTTGAAAGATTTGCTATAGTTGCCTTGCAGCGTGGGTGGTGCGTTTTTGGGGATCAAGAAGAGCACCTTCATGGGATGTATGTCGGAATACGGAGGCTCGCCCGTGGCAAGCTCGATAGCAGTGATGCCAAGCGACCAGATGTCGGCCTTGTAATCATACCCCGATTGCTTGATCACCTCCGGGGCCATCCAAAATGGCGTGCCCACAAAGGTGTTCTTCTTGGTCATGGTGGCAGACAATTGGCCCGAGACGCCGAAATCCGCCAGTTTGACCTGACCGTTCGAGGTGAGGAGGATATTCGCCGCTATGGCAGTGAGCTTCAGAATCATGGATCAAAAATGGCCAGGATGGTGGTGGGAGGGGGCACCTTTAACATCTCGATGTAACTTCTTATCGCGATGCAAATAATCCAACCCGCGGAGCAACTCCTTGACGATGATCATGATATACTCCTCGGGGATGGTTCCCGGGCGCATGAGATCGGAGCAACTGCCGCCGGAGCAGAATTCCATGACAATCCACAATTTGGAACCCTTCAAATAAGACCCGTGGTATCTGGTCACGTAGGGAGAATTAAGTTCCGACAAGATAGCAATCTCCTGGATGATATCTTCGACTTCGTCCTCGGCATTCTCAACGTCGATGATTTTGATTGCGACCGAGGCACCAGTTCGCTTATCGACTCTATGGTTAGTTAGATAAACCGTCAGCGCGAATTTCCCGCAGCTTCCACGAGAGTATCATAGGTACCCTTTATAAACTTTTCCAAAGCTGCCACCACCTGTACCGGAGCACAGCACCAATCAGCGCCGAAACATTGACCTCTAGGTAGGGCAAGGACGTACCGATGCAATTCTGCCTCATGTAGATCGACTCGGGATCGACGGGGCCTTCCATGTTTGCGGTGCTGTAACTTGTTGCTTCAGAGTCAGCCCAATATCATTCACAGGGCTCCGTCACAGGTCGGCGCTGATTAGGGTGGATAGTGCGGAGAATGCGGGATTGAGGCGGATGCGATTGGTTTGCAAGCTGGGGATCAAGGAATCGAAAAGCAAGCCACAATGCAGAAGAGGGAGGGCGTGTCAATGGAGGAATTGACTACTCCGACTATTCTGTTCGTTGCTGGAGCGAGTGGAGGCAGGAGGGGAGAAAGAGGTGTTGTCAGGGCTCAGCTGAGATCAACAACATACCGATTGCCTGGGGTAGTCGAGATCTAGATGGACAAAACACCTGGGATGTCAGTCAGCTCAGCCCACAGCCAAGGAATGATACATCCAGATAAGCTCCTGGATCAACACAAATAAAGACGAATGGAGCTGCAAGGGGGAAGGGGGTGTTGGAATGTTCAGGAAGAGCTTCACGATTTCGAACATTATTTATCTATTTTCTTCTGTCTTTTTTTTTTTTGCCTTTCTTCTTCTTTTTTTGATGCTTGCATGACCAATATCGTGGTGTTTGTGATTGATGGTTCATGGGCGGGGGAAGCGGCGGATCGAGGTCTCGGAAACTCCACTTACTCGATATGAGTGCTCGCTCTGATGATTGGATGGCACAGGCCAAGCGGTTCGCTCGAAATTGTCTCAGCTGCGAGCAGCCAAGGTTTTGGGAGGAAGTTCGAGGGTTCAGCAGGGACGCTGCTTGGATCCTTGCTTCCGACTCAATTGAATGCACGGCATCTACTCCGTTGAGTTTGGGAGAGGCCGTTGATTGATTGGAAAGGAAGAAGTGGGGACGGTAGTAAGAGATAAAACAGGGCTAGGTCCAGCGAAAACCTCACAGAAGAAACAAGATAGGATAGGGAGAAGAAGAGGAAGAAGACGATGAAGATGATGAGTTCACTTCAGCTCATTGTTTACTTCGATCCCCGTGATTCTGCTGCGAGCGGGGCCTTTCTGCCTGGCGGTGAGAATGGTTGGCCCCACAGGTTGGCCCAGGCGGTGAACCGGATCTACTACGATCTACTTGGGGAGTCTGATAGTGTGAATGCATCTCAAGCGAGCCATCCAATCCTGGGTCTAAGGGTCATGGAGGAGAAAGAAAGGATTTCACAAGAATCTTTCTCAGGAAAATCCCACTGCATATTCATTCAACCATGAGTTAATACTATCTATCATGTTCACAAACACATCTCTCATCGGAACAAGAAAAAAGTCAAGAGGAGCTGGGAAGGGAGGAAGGAAGGAGAAAGGAAGGAGACAGAAAGGAAGGGATGACAAAGTAAAGAGGATTGAATGTCAAGTTCCAAAGGAAAAGCGTCAATGGTGAGACAAGGGTGCATGCCCAGTCCCTCCCCCCCTTCTTGCGTGGGGCCCTAGCATATCATGGAAAAGCCTCCGATCCAACGCCCTTGCCAAATGCAAAATCGAGGTCCTGGAGAAACGCCAGAAGAGGTAGGCTCCTTATTCCTCCACGTAACCGATCATCACTGTGCCATTCTTCAGGCCAGCATCGGCCACGCTCTGCTCCAAGGAGTCGAATAGGTTGTGACCCATGGCGTTGAGCTCGAATTCCACCCCGGCCTTCTCCGGCAAGGGCGGCTCGGCCTTGAGCCACTCGTAGATTCTGCGGACCGGATCGCCGAGGGCAAACCGCCGGATGACCCGCCCGGAGGGATGGCGGAACTGGATGCGAGTGGTCGTGGCCGGATCGGCCGGCGGCTCGGTGTGGGGGCGATCGCTGGCGATGGATGCGAAGGGCGACGGCTCTTCCCCGGCGCCCGCTTCCTCCATGCCGACGTCGTCCGTGCCCGGGTCCTTGCCCTTGCCTTTGACATCTCCTGTGCTGCGAGTCAGTTCGTCAGGATCTTCCGCCCGCGGACCCTGGGTCGCGGCCTCTGCCCCCAGACTGTTCCGCATGGCCATCTCCAGCATCTCCTCCTCGGTCATCGCGTCGATGCTCTTCTCTTTCTTCTCGGGCTTGCGTTTCGCCACCGGGTTCCGCACATTGTGGTTCAAACTGTAGCGGTCGAGGAATTCGTGGAGCTGCATCAGAAAATCGGCCGTCTTGACCACCGGAGCCCCCGACCAGACCTTCATCTGCTCGCCTGTCCGCGGGTCGACGATGGCAATATGGGGGTAATTGTCTGACACGTCGCTGCCTTGGAAGTAGTACTGCAGATAAGGAGCCGCTCGGGGGTCGTCCTTGGAATACTGCAAGAAGAGGAAATGCTCTCGGATCGTGTCTCTCACCCCCGCATCCTTCCAGAGGTCGCGGTTCAACACCTGGCAGTCAAAAATGGAGGAATCTTGGATGTTGACCAGCAACCACTTCTCCTTTTCGCGACCCTCGTCGCGAGCCACATCCCACGGGAGGCGGGAGATGATCTCGAATGGTGGTCGGTACATCTCCGCCAACATTGTAGATTTGTTCGACGAGTCCGAAGCGCCCCCTGTCGCTGCGGACAAAGTTTCACGGTGTCTTGCATCGTCCTCCTCATTCCATATCGATGACGTGTCTCTCTGGTTGAAGATACCCGGTCGTCCTAGAAGGCAGTTCCGTCAGTTTCGGAAGCTTGGTCAAACAAGGGGAGAGACAGGGATATACGGACCGGCCCGTTGATGGTGCGCACGCAGGTGGCCCATGATACTAGTAGGCATATCGCCATCATCATAATCCGCCCCCGGTCCCACCAGTGTCTCCGTCGTGCGAGCCATCGGCGCACGCACATCGTCGGGGTTCTCATGGCCTGGCGCACCATACATCTCTTCTTGGAGGCGACGGGCCATCGCAGCATCGTCCTCGAATGCGGTGTCGTGGGCGGGCTGGTTCCGCGGGGTCGATCGGGATTCATCGACCGTGACGTCGTCGTCGGAGTCCACATGCTGAAATCCGGTATTGCGGGGGGGACTGTGCGGGGCTGCTGCAGGACTTTCCTCCTCGGTCAACGGAGCGCCGCCATTCTCAAAGTACAACTGCATGGCTTGCTCAATGTTGAAGTCGGCCAGCTGCAGGTACTGAGTGGCCAACCCCGGGTTTGACCCGGTGATCTCAGTAAACTGAGCCACCACGTCGGTGTCCATGGTGGATCGATCAATGACAAGCGGATTAGGACGAGGCAGAAACAGGCGCTAGATAGAAGGAATCTGCAGACCCTTGGCAGGTATGGGTAAGAGATGGGATCGCGAGGGTGTATGTAGCAGAGGCAGGAAGGAGAGTTATAATGGTCGATCAATCAATGGCAATACCGATAAAAGGTGAAGCTCGGTGATGCAAACAGCTGCAAACTTGGACCTTCTTAGCGTAGAAAAGCAGCTGCCTCATTCACTTCAGAACAGTGATGGTTTTAATATTAGACCCGATGACGATATAGAAACCCAGTACAGGGGGTATAGAACAAAGCAATGTCCTCGAGTGATCGGAAATGGGGAAGAATAGGTGAAAGACTGTTACGTCGACAGACCAGAAGTATAAGGTCACGACGGTAAGGCAGTGACGCACCACTTGATGCCTTCCAATGGGGATCGGCAGATCTGATTCTCCGATAACGTGCTTATGTCATCATTTTCTGCAGGTCTGAATCACGTGGACACCAAGCCCTGTTAGGGCTAAATCAGGAAACGCGACGCGCCCGCGCGACGCGTCCAGCCCAGGCAATTAAACCGGGTTGGGACCTCAGGCACATAGCTGAACCTGGACTATTGATATAACCTCCCCTGCCTGGATTCCTCCCTATATTGACGATCACTCTTTATTTCCTCTCTCCTTCTCTCTTTCCCGCTATCTCCTTCTCCCAGTTCCTTCCTGCTGTCGAGAATCCCCCTAATAGACATTATGGCTGCCGTCGTCCTGGGCAAGCGCCAACGGGGAATCATTGAAAGTGAAGGTACGATATGACAGCCAATGCCTTATCTTCACATCTTGTTAGTGGACCTTTATACTGACATAAATTATGCAAAGGTCCAAGTCTACCTTTGCGTAGTGGGAGCAAACGGGGACGCACACAACCCCCTCGTGTGATCCGCGAAGACAGCGCCTCGCCGGCACCACCGTCACGCCAACTCCGATCCAGAACACGCAACGGCACGACACCGCAACAGGAGAATGAGCCTGTTGTCAAGGAAATTAGCGCCAAGGATGCGCGCACCACGCGTGATTCGGCCGAAGTCGAGAGCGGATCGCCTCGGAAAGTCAACGCCCAGCTCCGGGCCTCGAAATCAGTCAACGGTAAGCCATCAGTTGCAAGGTATGGTCAGTCGGATACTAATCGACGCAGATGAGAATTCCAAGCCTGTTGAGGTGAAGACGCCCTCGAAGTCGCGGTTTCGCGATGCCCTAGAGTCCCCCCCTACTACACCCAAGCATCGAGTTCAAATCGGGAACAAGTCCCTGACCCCACGAACGCCACGACAAATTTCGGCCCCATCCACGAACCACACTATCTATACGAGCGCGAAACAATTATTTGCGCGCGGCGCAACTTCCGGTCGACTGGTTGGGCGGGACGCGGAACGGGCGAAGTTGCGGTCGTTCATCGAGGACGCCGTCGCATCGCGCAAGGGAGGCTGTCTATATGTCAGTGGTCCTCCGGGGACTGGGAAAAGCGCCATGGTCCACGAGCTGTGCCAGGAAATCGACTTGACGTCGGTCAAAGTGACGCATATCAACTGTGCGAGTATGCGCAGCGCCCGCGATGTTTACAGCAAGCTCCTCGAGGACTTCAGCGAGGATCAGCAGATCTTCAGGAAGAGTGAGGCGGAGCGGGTGAAGGGGATGTTTCTGCCGGACGAGTCGAAGCAAGACGATATCTTCCTGGTCTCGCTCGACGAAATCGACCACCTTCTGACTGCGGACGCCGGAGTTCTCCAATCCCTGTTTGAGTGGTCGCTGCACAGCAAGTCGAAACTGATCCTCGTCGGAATCGCGAACGCTCTCGACCTGACCGATCGGTCATTGCCACAATTGAAAGCGAAGAACCTCAAACCTCGACTCCTCGCATTCTTGCCGTACAATGCCAGTCAAATCGCGAATGTTATCATTAACCGCCTCCGCTCTCTGCTCTCAGCGGGCGAAACCGATGATGCGAACTTCGTACCGTTTATCCAACCTGCAGCCATCCAATTATGCTCTAAAAAGGTCGCCTCGCAGACGGGCGATCTCCGCAAAGCCTTCGAGCTCGTCAAACGCGCCATCGACCTCATCGAGCACGAAACCCTACAGCGCCTCGAAAAGCAAAACGCCACCTCCGACGCTCCCTCGAACTCGATCCTAGTCGAAAACAACAACCTCTCCTGCCCCGCCAAATCCAAACAAAACCCCACCTCAAAATACACCAACATCACAGCCCCCCGAGCAAGCATCGCCCACGTCGCCCGCATCACATCATCCGCCTTCGGCCAAGGCACCATCCAAAGACTTCAAGGCCTCAACCTGCAACAAAAAGCCGCCATCTGCGCGCTCATCGCACTAGACCGCAAACGCCGAGAAGGCGAGTTCCCCAGCACGCCGTCGAAATCCAAGAACGCCCCACCAACAGTCAAGCAGGTCTTCGACACCTACTGCACCCTCTGCCGAAAGGACAACATCCTCCACCCCCTCACAGCAACCGAATTCAAAGACGTCCTCAGCAACCTCGAAACCCTCGGCTTAGTCGGAGAATACCAGGGCCGAGGCCGAGGTGGCACCGTGTCAGGTGGCTCGGACCTCCGCCGCACGCCGTCCAAGTCAGGCGGGCCTCTAACGCCTAGCAAAGCTCTCGACGAGCAGGGTCTCGTGTGCTTTGTTTCGCAGCGAGAGATTGAGGGCCAGATCGCTGGTGCGGGGGAGGGCATTCTACGGAGGCTGCTGTTGGGTCAGGGGTTGTAATATCACCATGCATATTTGTACAGTCTATTGTACGGATTATTGATGTTTGAGTTGGTATCTGCTATCTGTTCTTTGGATACGATACCGTTTGCATCTATTTCTTTTTTCCAGCGTTAAGCATGGCGTGTATGTTGTATTGGTCAAGGTTACAGGTTACAGCATTACAAGGTTATACTATACTTAGTTACCAATAAACAACAAATACAAATGATAATCATCAGTTATAAGAATTACCAAAAACCAAGAACCCATGAGAAGCTATCCATACAAAGAGAAAATGAAATAAGAACAAGAATAGTAAAAAGATAGTAAAAAGATAGTAAAAAGATTGGAACACTTCTTCAGCCGTATATCTTGGCAACCGCGAGGTAAGGTTGCAATATCGCTAGAATTGATGATAGATCGATCGATAGACAGAGAGATAAATGCTATACAACTAACAAACTACACAACTATCCACGCTCAAGCTATCTAAACTCTAGAGCCAGAACCGAAAACCAATCACAGACACATAGATACACAAACCCGCGAAAAGGGCGTTCGTTCGATACGTAGACAGACACGTATGCATACATACACAAAATGATAGGAATCAATCAATATAGGTAGGTAAATGTAGTATATGGTTGTAAAGATACATAGCGGTTGGCATCGGGTATGGATATGGATAACAGAGTTTGGGTCGGTGGTGGGGGGGTGATAATAATGGACAGCAGGGTTAGATGATAATAATAATCCAAAGGATGAGGAGTGCGGGACGCTTTACAGCCTGATTTTGAGTACAAGGTTGGTTTGTTGGGGAGAGGAAAAAATCAAACGAAATGAATCAATCAAATAGACAAGACAAGACAAGCAAGCAAGTAAGCAAAACACCATTATCTATCTTGTGCGGCGTGCGCACATTACTTCCAAGCCGGCTGGAAGTTTGTGCCCAAGGGCTGACTGACTGCCAAAAATAAAACAATAACAAGGAAACCCGGTTGGTGGTTTATACCCAAGCTCACTTTTAAAATAGATACATGTATGCACCATGTCAGCTGGTCGAGCGCGTGGTAGTCAGGACATGGGTCCGTCTGTAGTGCCATAACGGTCTGCATTTTGCGCACCTTGCGTCCGCTCAATCAGGAGATGACATGGCATGGCATGGATGCAGTGGCCGAAGCGTGACAGCCGGTTCGTATCTAATCGTCCATGGGCTTGTCTTCCAGGGTGACTCCCTTTGGTTCGCTGGTGGCGATGCTGCTTCGCTTGCTGTCTGTTCCGGCGTCGCTGGGGAAGCTGGAAATGCTGCCCAGGCCGGGCTTGCGGGTGAACACGGTCCGCGGGGTGGACGAGCGCCTTTCAGACTCGGGAAGTGACGGCGTGGGTGTAGGCGTGGGCGAGTCGTCGGACGTATTGGCCGGCGGGGGGCTGGACGCGCCGAAGGGACTTCCGTTGCTGCCGGCTGACGCCGGAGACTCCGTCAGGGAACCATTGGTGCCGATGGGCTCGGCCGCGTTGATGTCCACGGTCGTCAGCTGCTCCGGTTCTTCAGTCGGGGAGCCGTTGCGGATCGGAACCTCCAGGCTGTTGCGGGAGGTGACTGTGGTGCGTCGTTCGGTGGGACTCGCCACGTTGATCGGGAAGCGCTTGGTTTCCGAGGGGCCACTAGAACGATCCCGTCGGTGCTTGCGGGGGGGTGCTGCAGGGCTGTGGGCGCGACTGCGGTCCACGATGGCGCGGTTCCGAGCCTCCATGGCCGCGCGGCGGTTACTCTCGTCGGTGCTCACGGCACGGGGGCGGTGGTTGTTGCTGGCGGTGGTGGTTGCCGCGCTTCCGAGGATAGTCGACTGGCGCTTTAACTCGCCAAAGATGGTATCCTTGTGGGCGAACAGGTCGCGGATTAGGCGGTAGCTGTGGCGCTCGTTCATCGTGAGGCTGCTCTCCGTGCGGGGTCGAAGCACGCAGGGGGACAGGGCTTGGGCCAGCGAGGAAACGTAGCCTTCGTCGGCGGAAGTCAAATCAATCAATCGTGTAAAGTGAGTCATAATGGCATCAAGCGTGGCAATGTTGTTGAGGCGTAGCTGTCCGAGGGTGCTCTGCAGGACCTTGATCCGTCCTTCCTCCGTGGTCTCGTGGGCCGTGGTGGAATAGATCGTCTTAACGATGTCGTAGACCTGGGAGGAAACAAGGGAATCTAAAATATCATTAGCGAGGGATGTTCCACTCCAGATGGTTTTTTGAGTCTCGACGAACCGGGCAACTCGAGAAGGTACAGTTTCAGCACGCTGGCCGCAACGGGAACCTCGAACTTCTCTAAGACATCGCGATAGTCCGCAGTACTATTGTTCAAGGCGTTGCGGAGGTGGTGGGTTGCAGCCAACGGAACGTTGTACAGCCAGATTCCGCGGCGGGCCTCATCACCCTCGAGTTCGGGATAGCCTGCATGGTGCATTAGAACAGGGTTCCTTCTGGAAGGGCTGTTGATTCTCTTACGGTTGTCCAAGAAGGTCAAGATAGTGGTCACGAGGATGGGAACGCGCTTGCGGTCAGCCCGCGCTCTCGCCTCGAGGTCGACGCCGAAATTTTGATCTATAATGTAGAGAGATTGTCAGCTTCTACCATCACCCAACCATCTGCAAGCGGACCATACCTTCGACAGAGCCGTAATAGTTCTCATACGCCTGCACACGGGGCACAAAACCGCCGGTGCGGTAGTTTTCAAGGAGATACCTCAGATCGCCGAGAGGTTGGATGGTCTCCTGGTATAGCATCATGTGATCCACGGTGCTCTGCAGATTCGGGATCACATTGCTGATGGCACCAGAGAAGTCCAGAACGACAGCCTTGATCGCCTTGAGACGGTCCAACTCGCACTGCTCCATGAACTGCAGGTTTTCGACGATTTCCTGCTCGAGCTTGCACCGGATGAAATCCAGCTTCTTCACGGCACTCTTGTAGCGTTCGTCCGCCTCGCGGGCCTCCCGGCGCAGCTTCTCCGCCGGGGTCTCGTTCGGGTAGGGGTTGTTGAGAGGGTTCCAGCCCGCCAGCATTTCCGAGACCGAGGCGATTGGGGATTCACTGCCGTCTTCGCTCGAGGCCGCTGAGGAGACGCGCATCAGAGGCTTCTTCTTCTCGGGAACGCCGGTGATCTGGAACACTTTGGGGCGCCACTGGTAGCGCATCTTGGAACTGTTCGCAAACGTACTCCCCATGTTCCCGACCAAACGGAGGAGGCCGTTGTCGACCATGTCCTGTCCGATCTTCTCGGCGTAGGTGATGCTGGTGCCGTTCATAAACTGCTGCGTGTATTCCACGATGTCCGCGCCGCTCGAGGTGTTCTGGTAGACACCAAGGATGGGCACCTTGATCTCGCCGATCTTGATGTTGTCCAACATGTGGGTCAGGAGAGTCTTGAGGTCCTCGGGTGAGTACACTCGGTCCCCAATCTCCAGCGGCTCTTCTTCCTCCTGCGCCTGGTCATCCGGCAGGACAATCTTGGGGGGCGGCTTGGCTTGCGGGCTGATTTCGGGGGCCTGGAACGCGAGCTTGTTCTCCTCCTCCAGGTCCTCAACGACGCGACACTTGTTGAAATAATGGCTGCGCAGCTTCTTGACCAGTTCGACCTGCTTCGTGTGTTCCTTGATTCGCGCTTGGAGATCGTCGTGGGAGTGTTCGATGCGAGCCTCGTGCTGGTTGCACCAGCGGCGAAACGGGTTGACGACCAGCTCCCGGATGTTGGATGCGATCTTCTGGTGATTCTTGGCTGATTCGACCATTTCAGTGCGTACGCCTTCGTAGGCCTGAAAATAACTTCTGTCAGTGGCCTAAGATCTCTTTCCTAGCACACACAGAGCGGGGGGGGAACGACCCACCTTCCTCACACTGGCCCCATCATCCTTTCCAAACCCCGTCGATATGCGATCGACACTCGGCGCGATATCCCCGAGTTTGACCCCATATTGGTCCTCAGCATCCGCACGCATAGAAGCAATCGTGAGGATTTGCTTATTCTCAGCAACCCCCTGCTGCAGCTTCCCGTACAGCACCCCGAGACCGGTGGCATAGTCCGGGGTCCAGAAGGAATCGGCAAATCCAGGCATCGCGACGGGCGGAGTCTCACAGAAACCAGAGGGTTGAAATCAGATTGCACGCGGAATATCAAGAAACCAGGGCCGATCTATCACTCCCCAAAAGAAAGGCAAAAACGAGGTACAGAAGGAAATAAGAATGACTCGGTCAACCAAGTTCTCCCCCGCAAAGAAAGGCAAAATTCCCCCAGAACCACAAATCAAATTGAAGGGAGGGTTATAGAAAAGAGTAGCGGCGTTGTTTCCTGTTGAGACCCAAATCTAGACGAACAAAGAGCGACTAGGGCGATTTTCACGACGGTCTCCAACACGGTGCTGGGAAATCTCTTGCAGTCCAAGGCGGCTCTCCCGCATTGACCGGTTGGCCGGGACCTTGGGTCGGGTTGGAACGCGAAGGCGGGTAAAGATAAGAGTGACGAAGGAAGAGAAGCAGGAGTCCGGCGGTAGGAGATGTTGAACGGACGAGCGAGAGAGGGTGTGGAGGGGGAAGGACCGGTAAGGCGTTGTTGAGGAGAAAGATAGATAGGATCAGGGGGAGAAGGAAGAAGAAGAGGAGAAGGTTCAGTTTCTCTCAGCTGGTCTGGCTTTCTTGTTCGCCGACCGAGATCTGAGGATGGACAACAAGGCACCAATAAGTTGCGGTGTAATATTACATGACGGTATTTCGGAGCATTGAAGCAGTACGTCTTCCTTACCGCGGTACCTGAATAGTCAGGAGACGGGAATCGTCCGCCTGACGGACGGACAGCCACTCCCGAGGTGCTGTGTACCTGGAGTCCGGCGTAATTTATCGATCTTCCAGTATCATTGTAACAGTGTGACAGGTAATGATACGGTTTCCCGTTCTGAAACTTGACGGTTGCCGCCTCAGCCTCACGTGTCTCCGCTCTGGCTATTTTTGGCCTTATTATTTCAGCGTCTAGACTAGTAGACGACCTCTCTTTCACCCATCTATACAAGGATATCCTACTGCTCATCCCCTTATTTCTCCGGAGGAATTCACTCCAAATATACGATCGATCAATGCAGATGGAGACAAGGAAGTAAGGGTCGCGGGAAATCCTCCGAGTGTTTCATACATGAATGACCGTCACACTAGCCCGCTCGCCTGGGTGCTAGTTCAATAGGGGCCGATCTTCCTAGATCGACGGCCCCCTCCACGTTGATGATATAAATAACTGTTCTAGAAGATGCGACCTACGCTTGGCAAGGAATCTTGGATAGCAGGGTCTCCCCGGCTCCCGGGCGATTGGCTACGGGATACGCGGTGCGATGGACGATGGCGATCGGTGATCCTTGGTTTTTATGCAGAGTAATTGTACAGGGCGTGGCGGAGATGGCATTAACCTCGCCTGTGCCGACAAGAGACGGATGCAAACTAGTCATCATGATAATGGTAATGAGATTGAAGAAAAGGAAAGAAAGAAAAAAGCGACATGGAAACAGGGGGCACTGAGATCATGAAAACATGGGAAATGGGAATAGCATCGGAAAGGAAGAGGGAGAAGACCCGTCGGACTATGCGTACAGACTATGACACGTCTAGCAGAACAGCTTGTAGAATTTCTTCCACGCCGGCCAGCTGGCCTGCTCCGCCCGTTCCTGGTCAATCAGGTACTGAATGTCCAGATCACGACGGCCGGTCTGCAGGTCCATGTCCCGGGACCGGAGGAATGGAGTCTTGTACCAGAGCTTGTAGGGGATGTAGAAGGCCAGGACCACCGGTGCCGCCAGGTAGACGGCAAAGAAGTTGTATGCCAATTCCGACGGAGTCTTTTCGGCATAACCGACGGGGGCAAAGCCGACCCAGAACTGGGCGACCAGGACGAGGCAGTTGAACCCGAACCCGATCCAGGAGCCGACGAGCCCTGGCTGCGAGGTGAAGGCCAGTTCCTTGAGGCTGTGGCCTTGAACCTTCCAGGCGCGGCGGAAGCGGATGTGGGCCAGACAGACCGAGCCCCACGTGAGGACGGACGACAAGCCCGAGATGGCCATCATCCACTCAAAGGCGACCTCCTGTTTGCTGGAGGCAGACAAGAACCCCAGCAGGCCCAGAGCGGAGGAGACGCAGATGGCCCAGAGCGGGCGACCCTGGCGATCGATGTAGGCCAGGAACTGGGGGGCCTGTCGCTGTTCGGCCAGGGCCGCCAGGGTTCGGGACGAGCCGTAGACGGATGCGTTTCCGACGGACAGGACGGCGATCATGATGACCACGTTCATGATGGATGGGAGGGCCTGGATCCCCGCATTCTCGATGGCAATGACGAAGGGGGAGGCTTTGGCATCCGCGCTCGACGAGCCATTCATCAGTCGCCGGTCATTGGACGGGACCAGCAGGCCCACCAAGGTGAGCGACACCACGTAGAAGAGTGAGATCCGCCAGAACACTTGCTTGGTCGCTCCGGGAAGGGACTTGCGCGGATTCGTAGTCTCGGCCGCAGCCAGACCGACCAGCTCCGTCCCCGCAAAAGCAAAGGCGGCGTTGACGAAGACACTGCAGAGGCCCTTGAAGCCGTTGTTGAAAGCGCCGGGGTCGTGCCAGAACTTGCCGCCAATGTAACCGCCCTCCGGACCGCCTCCGCAGTTCAGAATGATGCCCAAGATGCTATCTCCTGTCAGCTTACCCCTTATCCCCGGATCGCAGGATCACGAGGGTAACTTACATGAATCCAATCACCGCCACGACCTTGATGAGAGAAAAGACGAACTCCGCCTCTCCGTACCCTCGGACGCCAAACAGATTGATGGACACGATCAACGTCCAGAAGATGGCCACCCACGCTGCATTGGATATGTCGGACTCCCAAAAGTCGACCGTAATGGAAGCTGCGACAATCTCCAGCGGCAACACGACGAGCCATTGGAGGGCATAATTCCAGCCCATGGCAAAGCCCCATGCCGGGTCAATGAAGCGAGTAGAGTAGTGCGCGAACGAGCCCGCCACGGGGAAGAGGACGGCCATCTCACCCAGGGCATGGACGGTACAGTACAACATGCAACCGATCAGGATATAGGCGATCAACAGGGAAGCTGGACCACCGGTGGCCAAGACCTTGCCGGATCCGACAAACAAACCGGTACCTAGAGGCAACTCATCAGTATGGAGCGCTTACGGTCTACAAGCGAGAGAAAGATCGAAAGAAAAGAAAAAGAAAAAAAAAAAAAAAGACAGGTATGATACCAATAGAACCACCGATAGCAATCATCTGCAGATGACGACCCTTCAACTTGCGCTGCAAGGGAGAAGCAGCCGTCTTCTGCGCCGCATGTTCGATATCAAAGGACTTTCCGTCCCCAGAAGATCTCACAGAGACATGGGCGTTGGGATCTCTCTTGAAGCTGTCAATGATGCGCCTGCCGAGACCCGCCTTGGTCGCTACCGCTTCCCCGTGCACCGGTGTCGCGTCCGGAGACGGAGGAAGCTTATCTCTGGCGGGTCCAATCTCGTCTTTCTCCATCATGACGGTTGGATCTCGAAGAACTGGAATTCAACGAAACTGCGCTCCAGCCAGCAGCTTGAAAATGCCGTTTAGTATGCAGTTCAAATAAAACAGAGACAACACTGGAAAGGGGGAAAATAGGAAAGATGACACACGAGACCAGGGGGACTAGACGGGAGGGGGGGAGAGAAACATGGGACAAATGACCAGTGACAAGGGGAACCGGAGTGAAATAGTAGGCCGATTCAGATGGTGACTAGTCCCAAACTGAAGCAAACCCAAACAGCGCCGCAGTTGTCTGGAAATACTACTCTGAACAAGCCAAGGAAATGAGGGACAGCCGCGACCCCGTATTTGAAGGATTGGGAGAGGCGGGCGTAGAAGGAATAGGTCGGACCATATCAAATCAAATTCAATTCGACGCACGAACCCCTGCGACCTAGAATGCCCAAGTACTTTGAATCCTTTAAATAATTCGCCACCCCAGAGAAAGTAAAGAAAGAAAAATGGGAAGTAGAGACAGGGAAGAGGGCCATGGGACAACGCTTAATCGCGGGCTAGGAGAGAAACGGAGTCACCGACTTTGGATTAGAATAGTGTTTATGGCTGATAAGCTGGGGTTGGCGGAAGACCAACGGACCAAGAACAAGGGAAGCGGGGGTGGAGAGGAAAGACAGACCACGATCGTTAAGAGTCAATCCAGTCAGAGCAGAGCAACCCGTCGGTTAGCGCTGCATCCCAATCTAGATCCATGTCTTTTATGATGCCTCGATATCACGTCTCCATCCAATGACATGGCCAGTTGGCAGTCGACGCTTATCGGATGGTCGTTCTCGCTGGGTCATCGTCGGTCTGGTGGCTGAAATGGCGTTGTCAACCTTTTCCTTTCCTGGTAACTTCAATCTTTCTGGTCTTTTCTTTTGATTAGGTTTGGTTTTTAATTCCCATCACTTGATTTGACTTGATTTGAGGAGTTCGTTCCACCAACAAATCTTGTCTCCAAATTCTTCCTCTATAGGACAGGGCTTGAATCCTCCGACACCCGGTCTGCTACCCCCAGAATCCATCATGGCCACCATGACTGAATTGTGAAATCATGAACCTAGTCATGGTCGATCGAAAGAGGCTGGGAGGTTCCCTGGCACACCACCAAAATCAAATATAATCTCCGTGTACGACGTAGGAGAGTTCGGTGGTATAACATGTCAGTGGCGTACGTTTCGCAGCTTCATCCCTTCCGTGCAGCAACAAGGTTACCTTGCGTGGCTTTCCATCTCGGCCAGATCAATTTCCAATCCCACCTCCGGGCGTCGATTGGTCTTGCTGGTCCCACTCCAGTCCTCATGACCTGGGGAAAGCAAAGGAAGAAGAGCAATAGGGTGTTTGGACAAGTCTGGTCTTTTTCGCCTTACAAGAGTTCTATGTGACATTACTTAACGGTCGTATGCAGAGATTATTCTTTTTTCTTCCTTTTTTTTAATTTTTGGTTTTTGTGTTTGGCAGAAGAACGAGGATATCATCAATTAGGAACCACCAACGGGGCCTTCCCCACCCGGGATCAACTGCACCGACAGGTTAGAATCTAGAGAGAGAGAGATCTCCGGACATGATCCTGGTGAATGGTGCCTACTTACCATGCAGACGTTGTTGCCATTAAGCAGGATCTTGGGCAGCTTAACCTGAGCGCCAGAGTAATCACTATATCAGTTAGCCAATGTGTCAGTGCCAACACGATGGTCTCTTCATTAATATCATGAAACTAGGATAGCTTACAATTCCGTCACATCTTCCAATACCATGTCTGGTCCAGATCAGCCTGCGTTCCTGTCGCATTTCCGGAAAGGGAAGTCGACTCTACTTACTGACGTAGTCATCAAAGCCCAACAAAGTACCGGCAAATTCTGTCGACGGTCAGCTTTCAATAACTTCTTCAATGCAGATACAAAGGGCCTACCCTTGTCATTCTTCATGATCACCCAGATCCTCGATCCAACGCACTTGTCGATCAACTCTGCCATGGCGATTAGCGAGCCCGTCCCTCATGCACGAACAAATCAACCATTGCAACCTTACCGAGGGGCAGAAGCTGGGACGCCATCTTGTTTGGGGATGGTGTGCAGAGGCAGAAATCTAGAGGGCGTTCCAATGCAGACGAGACCAGATCCTGCGTGAGATGGAACTAATCTGGGATGACATAGATGGAGGATCCTCTGATGATTGCGAGTCCACCGTCCACCGCGGACAAAACTCTTGGCGCCTCGGGTCATCATCCCTCCGCCCCGATTGTCAATACGCTCCACCGCCTGGCTTTGTTTCTTCATGGTTGATAGATATCTACTTGTTTACAATAGTCACTGCTGTGTCAATTATCGAATTATTTCTATTAATCTATACAGGAGGAGTGATTGCAGGGTATGCTTTAGTGCTACTACATGGATATCTCGTATTTTCCAACCCATAGCCTCCCGCGATTACCAAATATATAACGCCTACTTCATCTCTATACATCCATGGAGATAAATAAGGTCGGTGACTTCACCCTCGTCTTTCATACGTGTGTGACTAATGAAAGTTCAGCCAACTTCAGAATCATATTTTCTCTCCATAGCCAGTGGACTGTCTGGCGCATCATACCAAACATGACCTCAAAGATGCTGTTTGGTAAGCCCAGGATACTCGGTGCCTTAGGCAGAGCCATAGGATCCCGTGGCCCTCTATGCCACCTTCGGTCTTACGCCGGGATACCTCGACCTGGAATTCAGGACCTCAAACAATGGACGAGCTCTCGCATATCTGAACCCAGGCAGTTACGCGGTTTCGCGTCCACTACCCAATCCACTATCGAACTTATAGAAACCCCCAAGAGGCGCCGGCAATCAACACCCTCGTTTGCTGGTAACAAGGCGCAATCCAACGGGGCCAGAAGTCCGGTGGCAGAGCAACGGCCTGGCCCCTCCTCACCCAAATATTGGAGCCATAGCCAGTATAAAGACTCTGACGGAAAGAACATCACCGTGCATTACTGCAGGACTTTGAAAAGCACCGAAGAAGTAGCGCGGTACTTCCTGGACGACAAGGTAGTGGGCCTCGACCTAGAATGGAAAGCCCAGGCCTCCGCCTCAGACACCATCCAAAACAACATGTCGCTCATCCAAATCGCTAACAAAGAGCGCATCGCCCTATTTCACCTTGCGCTCTTCCAGCCTGCAAAAAGCATCGATGACCTCGTTGCCCCGTCTCTCCGGCGGATTATACAGTCGCCTGACATCACCAAAGTAGGCGTGTCCATAAAAGCAGACTGTACTCGTCTTCGGAAGTTCCTAGGCATCAACGCCCGCGGCATCTTCGAGCTCAGCCATCTGTATAAGCTGGTCAAGTACTGCCATTCCAACCCGGCGCTGATCAATAAACGACTGGTCAATCTGAGTGATCAAGTACTGGAACATTTTGGACTACCCCTGCAGAAAGACGACGACATCCGGTGCGGCGACTGGACCAATCCGTTGAACTACCGTCAAGTCCAATGTAAGACCCAAACAGCTCTGTCGCGGAAAAGGAAGACACACTGACAACACACCCCTTGGATAGACGCTGCGTCCGATCCCTACGCTTGTTTGTCTCTGTTCTACACGATGGACACCAAACGGCAAGCCCTGGACCCCACACCTCCTCTCCCAGCGCACGCGGAGCTCGATCTTCCTATCCGTATCGTGCACGAAACGCCCGTGACGACCGAGCCGGAGGATGTACAAGTCATCGACCCTGCTGAAAACCAGGGGAATCTCACCAAGTGATCCCCGGATGGTCGGGCTCATTTCACCTGACTCGCTCGGCCCGGCACCGCACACGGAGCCTGCACTCACCCACCTCACTCTGAGCATACAGCGAGCTCTTACTATGGCTATCCTACCCAAGGCGAGGCTCACTCGGATTCTGTGGACGCCCTTGTAGAACAGATACACCGTGGTATCCACCACAACCGCTCGCACAAACAAACACGACGGAACGTCAACTCGACAAACTGTACATTATGGGAAAAGGATTGGTTCAAGGCGTTCTATTGCATGGTTCTAAGAAAGAAAGGGTATATGTATATGTAGAGACATAGGAGCTTATGTACATGCATGCATCTGAAGAATGGAACAAACCGGAACAGGGAACAACATGCTGTTTTCGTGATCGTAGATAGAAACCTACCCCCGTAGAGGCAGTACCTTAGAGAGCAGCACGTCCTGCCGACAGAGCGGACACTCGGGTTTTTCGCGAACCCAGTCCCGAACACAGACCCAGCAGAAGACATGGCCGCATGTCGTGACGCTGGGGTCCTTGAACGACTCCAGACACAACGTGCATTTGCTTTGCTGGCCCTCGGGGATCCACGGGACGGCCTTGGAGTCTTCCTCTAGGTCGTAGCGGGCCGTGTTGGCAGGGAGGAGCGGAAGCGCGGAGGGGTGCTCAATCGAGCGGCCCAGGGTGTCATCCTTGCCGTTCGGACCACCCGCGGCAGAAGACTCAAGCTCCCGGTCTTCTTGCTGGAAACTGTCGCCGACTCGCCGAATGTGCAGGATGCTCTGGACTGCGATCTGCAGGACCAGCAGCACGCCGAGGACTTCGTATCCGACGCGTTGCTCGTCGTCCTCGACCTTCTTGGTGAAGACGTACCGAAGGCCCCAGAACCGTTTCGCGAGGTGGTAGTATGAGCCCGAGAAGTAGAAGGTTGCGATGTTGAGGGCGTAGATGGGAGAAAGGGACGTGATGGAATCGAGGTGCTCGAGGATGTACTTTTGAATGCGGAGCTTTGTGAAAAGCGGTCGGGATTTCGACGGTCCTCCTTTCGTCGATTTGGACGCCTCGTGTTGCTGCTGGGCTTTGAATTGCTGCCGTGCGATGCTGCGCTCTAGCTTGGCGCGTAACCGCTGTCGGAAGCCCGGGAGGATTCGCTGCAGGGACCAGGGCACCATTATGCTGCTGAGGATATAGCCCGCCCGTCGGGCGATGGATGGAAGGCGAAGCGTGTCATCTTCGAGCTGCACCAGGTCGCAGTATTCCTCTCCGAGGGTGCGGTTGCCGACTAGGGTTGTTAGGGAGAAATACAGGATCTCGGTCAGGTTCTTGATGGACTCGGAATGGGCGTGCGCGTATCGGGCGCCGCGGAGAGAGCGGGCTATAGACTGCGCTTGGTTGAACAGACTGGCTGTGGTGAAGACATCCTTTTCGTGCGATCGGATGATGTCTGGGGAGGTTGCGAAGGGATAGAAGTAGGCCGAGGGACTGGGAGCTGCGGGCGCGCTGGGTGCCGACAGTGAGAGGTCTTCGTCCGCCATGATAGTATCTGACCGATGCAAGGAGACTATAGATGGCGATGATTAGAATGATCAGAATATGTGTCTGTGAGACAGTCAGATCTTTGATGTGCTCTGTGGTGAGGTTCGCATTGTTCCCCGTACTTCTCAAACGTCTTTCCCCGGACGGCGGGCGAGCAGTCCGAGATGCCTCGGTCCATGGGCACGTGACTAGATCACATTATGTCACGTGGAGGATGCAAGTACGGCCTCAGGATCATCAAGCTCACCGCTATCATCACCGCCCACCGGATGCGGCCAGAAAGTCCAGACGGGCCTCTTTTCGGTCTTTGGGAAAGGTGGACTTCTTTCTGGATAGATTCAGGAACGAAAAGCACGTCTTTTCGACTCGGTCAATACCCTCACTTCTAGTCTCTCCTTTCTCTTAGAGTCTTGCTATTCTCTGCTGTTCTTGTGGTTCTTTGTCTTGACTGGTGTTTATTGATTGAACCGATCTGGTACTCTTATCTTATCCCCCACCTCTCCTCCCCTACTCCGATATTAAAAGAATCGATCACCTCCTCGGTGCCGTCTCCTCGATGGAACATGGGACCTGATCAGCATGCTCAATTGGATGACTTCGGTCTAGCCTTTCCATTCCCTTATCGGGTTGCGGCGCTTCTGCTCGCTGGTATGATTTGCACTCCTTGAGTTCCATGTTGTCTTCCGTCCTGATTGGTATTGATTTGATAGGCTTTTGGGGATGGGGCGTCAATCTGAAATATCTCTTGAGTTATAATGTCGTAGGTGTTCCCTCTGACCACCTATTTGACCCCTTATGTGGCTGTCTGTTGACTGACGGCTCGCTAGGATCTCGCCTCGTTGATCCGATACCCTCCCCGGCAAGCGTCGCACCAAGAGCCACATCACACCTCCGCCTTCCGTCTAGCGACAGTTCTTTCCGTGCCCCTGGGACTTTCGTTTCTCTTTTTCTCGATTACGACGCGCGGTACGGTGGAACAGGTTGAGAGGCTGGACATTATTCCGCAATCCTACTTCGTGATTGCGTTATTCCTTCTGATATTACCGGTCAATCCCGTTTCGCGCTCGGGACGGCGCCGCTTTCTCCTGACTCTGAAACGGATCAGTATTGGCGGTCTGGCGGAAACGCAAGATGGCAAGTTCGGAGATGTTCTCTTGGCGGATGCATTGACCAGCTACGCCAAGGTTCTGGCGGACCTGTACGTTACGTTCTGCATGTTCTTCACGGGGGGCATCTCGAGTACGTCCCAGCCAGATCGGATGTGTGGGAAGGACTACATCGTTCCCACCATCATCGCTATTCCGAGTGTAATCCGACTCCGACAATGTTTGACCGAATATCTACGTGCCCGACGAGCTGGCCTCAGCCGGGAGAACAGCAAGGCCAACCAGCATCTGGCCAACGCGCTGAAATACTCCAGTGCCTTTCCCGTCATTATCCTTGCTGCCAAGGTCAGGAACTACAACCCAATGGAGTTCTATGAAATTAGTGAGATAGGGGTTTCACGTATACTGTAAGTCCTCACAACACGCAACCCCTCCATCCACAACTAACCCGAGTCCTAGGCACTTCTTCGCTTTGATCAATTCGTCCTACAGCTTTTATTGGGATATCACGAAGGACTGGGACCTGACTCTCTTCACCTCGGCGCGGGCAGATCCTGACCACCCGTTCGGCCTGCGCCGCCACCGTTACTTTTCGGACCGACAGTACTATTCGGCCATCGTCATAGATTTCTTCATTCGTTTCTCCTGGCTTTCTAAATTCGTAACCGGCCTGACCTGGCTCAGCGAGAAGGAATCTGGCATCTTCATCTTGCTATCTTTGGAAGTCGCACGCCGCTGGATGTGGGTGTTCCTCCGGTCAGAAGCCGAGCTGAGTACGTCGTCCCAGCACTTATCCAATATACTTGCATTACTAACATATTGTCATAGTCCGCAACAGCCGGGGCCCGGTCCCCGATGACATTCGCCTAGGCGAAATCAACGGCAAGCTGGACGCGGATTAAATTATTTTAATCAGGGGACAGAGAACCCTTCGCACGGTATCCGTCCCAACTCGCGTCCTGTTACACCAGCGACGCGATCTATTCTCTCGCATAGGAAGAGCCTGGATCTTGCTGCTTTCTATGCCCGTTATTACTACACTTTACAATTCTACGTCTATCTGTGTATCAACTTGTTGGAATTTGGATTTGCTATTAGATATACTAGCGATTTTTACGCTGGAAGGATGGATGAGGGTGGGCTATATCTTCGCATTTGTATTATTATTATGACTACCTATTAACAGGCGCGTTGCCGGAGTTGATCTGTACAATATTGGTCTCCTTCCGACACGCCCTTTTTTTTTCTCTCTGGACTTTTCCGACTTTCTCTTGATTGTAGAAGAAATGGCGCGTAGTTAACTGGTATCTAGATACACCCATAGCTAGCTGTTGCTGTAGACAGTAGGTTGATTGATTGCTTCATTGATTGATCAAGGTGAAGTGGGGGGAACGCCATGCTGGGATGTATATATCACACAAGAGAGTCAATCCCACACAAAAAGAGTATGTGTGTATGCACTTCAATGCTTTATCAACGGATTAAATCAAAGATTAGTTAAATGCAAAAGGACTAAACAAGAACCAGGAAGCTAGGATGGGTAAGAAAACAACCAGTCAATCCATAAACCGTACATCGATCGTTCCTCGTAGCAAAGAAGAAAAGAAGAAAGAAGTAAAGCGAGTAGCCGCGTGTCAACCCCGATATCGCTTGTTCTGGTTTCTTTGCGGTGCGTGGTTCTCGAAGAGGTCTTCTAGGTATGCGCTGGGTGTTCGACCCTGTGGTGCGGACGAGAGGTTGACGTCGCTGGTCGAGGAGCCGTAGTAGGGTGCTTGTGGGCCGCTGGGTGGGTGCTGGGGCTGCGTCGGCGTCCCTGGCGGGCTGGGCCCTGATTTTGTCCGCGTGTAGCCTTGCGATTGGGGTCCTATTCCGGGGAGGTCGGAGAAGTGCGTGTGGTGGCCACCGCCGCCGCTGCCACTCCCGCCTGCGGTGGCATTTCCGGCTGCGTAGTACCCTGCGGGGAGGTAGTTCGATGCTCGATTGCCGCTGCTCTGCATTCCTGCTGTTGGGGAGAAGAAGAGGCCGCTGCTGGAGCTGGGGACCTTGGAGGATCGTTGGTGCATGTGGCTGGAGCGTTTGTTGCCGCTCATTTTCTCGAGAGATACGGGCGCGACGGGGCCTTGGGGACGGACTGTGGACCTCTTTCGCCGGGACCGGAGGAGTCCTTTGCTTTCAGAGGAGTGTATCAGGGCTGCCTGGCGGACGGACCGGTTGACCGACCAGGCGACCATGCCGCGCCAGGCTAGAACTGCGAACCCGAGGAAACCTAGGACGGCGCCGACGGCGATGAAGACTGTGCCCTCGGGCGTGTTGGACTTTTGCATGTACGGCGCGTCTGCCGTCGGGGGAACTGTGACTTCTGGGTGATCGGCTGCCTTGGAAGTGGAGGTCTTCTCGGACGAAGAGGTAGTCTCAGTCTCAGACGTGGTCGACTCGGAGTCCGTCGTGGTCTTCGACTCCGACTCCGACTCCTTGGTACTTGTCGGTTTCGAGTCTGTCGTTTTCTCTTCCGTCTTGGTCTCTTCAGTGGTTTTTTCTTCGCTAGAGGTCTCTTTGCTCGTGGGCTCTTCCGTAGCTGTTTCTTCCGCAGGTTCTTTCGCAGTCTCCTTGGTTTCAGGCGGCGCGACGTCCGTAGTCGCAGCGTCGGGATTATCAGCAGCAGTCTTATCTTGCGCAACAGCCGAGACCGCACACAGAGCGATCACCAAGACCACGAGGAGCATCCACGACGATCGCCGGCCCCCCGTGCGGCGCGCGGGGAATAAAATCATGGCGGAATGCAGATACAGGAATGATCCGATAGCGCAGCTCTCAGGCTATAGAACAAACAACGAATGGGGCGATGATGATCTGATCTGGAACGGGAACGACCGTCAAGGCATCAGTGCTGCCTCTATCCGTATGCGATATGTTCGAATGATATGTTCCGTATGGTCTATCTGCATGAATTTCTCAAGCGATGGTAGGCGTCTCCTGGTCGATAAGAGTACTCCGCAGCTGTAAGCGTGGATCTCTCCGATCTGAGGCTCCACCCAAACACCGGGTCAACAATGCAGGAATCGATCTCGGGGTAACGACCGGTTCACCCCGCAAAGAGAGACAAGGCTGTGTATGCAGCGACTAAAGAAGGAGCAGTAGAGAATGTAGATCGGCTGTCAGGATCAGCCGTCAGAGACCAGAGAGAAAAAGCGCAGGCGAATCTGAGACGGTCGAGTCCCTGAGAGTCACGGGGGGCTTTTGGCGGGCGTTGCCTCATTGGGTTGGTCTCGTTGCCCCGTGCCAGGTCACGTGGTGGGCACCATTATTACTGTGTCTATAGGTGGAATCTGGACGGATGCAATAATCACACTTAATAGCATAATACAAGGATAGTCGCCAACATGAATCAACAAGGTGTATCATAGCATAAGTAACATCTCCCCCCCCCCAGATAAGTTCATCAATCACTGCTGCTTCTTTTGCACCGTAGCCGACGTGTCCTTCTCAAACGCCGCATAGGGGACCTGCAGACTCAGGAGAGCGCTGAGACCAACGTAGAAAATAGCCAGGAACAAGAAGGTCGCCATGAATCCCATGAAGATACCTGCGGATGTTAGTCTGATCATCATCAAGGTCAGGATGTGGGCCATGCGACGCACCGGGAGTGAAGTATTGGTATTCCTGGAACAACGAGCTGTTGGACGCAGGCTGTTCCCGACGAGAATGTGCCGAGTAGTCCCGCTTCAAGTCCATGTGGACGGGATCTTGGTAGGATCCGTGGTTCGATTGAGACATGCCGTGAGTGGGCTCTTCGAACTCCCTCGGCGAGGTGACGTAGAGGATCGTGTACTTCTTTGACGACGGGATCCGCTCGACGACGTCCGACAGAAGACCATCTACACTGATATCAGTATGTCTCTAGCGGGGATGGGATGATCGGATCGCATACCGTTGTCGGAGAGCTGCTGCGCGCGATCCGACCCCAGGGAAAGATTGGGAAAGTCCACCAGGATCACACGAGGCTCAGCCCCGAAATCAGAGGGATACGATCCCGCTACACAGTCCAATTAGCAAGACCCTCAAGAAGAACAAGCTCCCCAGCAGACAAAACTCACAAGAACCATCCACGACAGTCGTCTGCGCCCCACACTCCTTCTCCAGCACGTCCTGGATCTGCTTGGCCTCCAACGCCCCCACCACCTCACTGACAATCATCTTCGACGAGATATCCCGGTCTTTGCCCGTCATCTTCGCGCCGAGGCGAGGGGCAGCGTTGCGCTTGGAGAAGTCGGTGCTGTGGACCCCCGGTTGAGAAGCGAGGACATAGTAATCGGAGGGGCAGCCACGGAGGGCCGAGGAAAGGTCATCGAGCAGGTCCGTCGCGCTCTTGAGGTTTGCGGGTTGCGTAAGGATTCTATTAGGCCGGTTAGCAATCCCGCGACTACCTGACTAACTACTGGCGGCCATGGACTGATTAGCGGGACAACGTACTCAGAGGTCGAGGCAAGGAAGAAAGGAGAGGAGTCTCGGAAGGCGTTGGCGGTTGCTGCTGCCAGAGCGAGCAGGGAGAGACCTCGTAGATGCATGATTATGTGGGAATCGACCGCTGGTCTAACAGAGTCGAGTGGAGGATAGTCTGGGGAGAGGAGAGAGGTCGATAGTGAAGGATGATGATGCCGCAGCTACTAAAGGTATTACTACGGCTGGCGGTTTGTCGGGGCCGCCGTTTGGACCACTTGATTGGCCGGCGGTCTCGGAGGCGGTCGAGCCAGTCCAGCTTGGAGAACTAAAAAAATGGAAATCCCGCTAACTCTACTAGAAGGTTTCGGTCGACGGACACTCCTACGATTGTATATCTTTTTTATCTTGTTTCTTCGATCTTTTTCCTTGCCTTTGGTCTAGCTGGATATTATCTGCGTGAAATACTCTACAACAATCGCAGTCTACACTGTTCCAGCGTTCTGAAAACAAGATGGTCCACCCCTCGGCAAAACGCCGCAAGCTAGCGACCAAAGTCGAAGAAATCAATTTCGATACAGACGCCCGCCAGGAATACCTCACAGGTTTCCGCAAGCGAAAACTCCAAAGACAGCGCCATGCGCAGGAGATCGCCGAGCGCAAAGCCAAAGAAATCAAGCGAGACGAGCGGAGAAAGGTGCGTCGACTGTTCCCCCCCACCCAATCCCAGCAAAAAAGAATGCGACCTAACCGGGGGATATTATATCAAATTTAGATTCGTGAGCAACGAGCGGAAGACTACCAGCGTGCGTTTGAAGAACATCGACGACAACTGAAGCGGTTGAAGGAGGAGGAGGATGGCGACGGGTCCGGTTCTGCGAGCGACGACGACGATGAGGAGGGTGAGGAGTGGGGAGGGATTGAGGAGCCGCCTCCGGTGGATTATGAGGCGGAGTATATCGATGAAGATAAATATACTACGGTAACGGTGGAGGAGATGGATCCGTCGCGGGAAGGTCTACTGAATTACCATGGGGAAGATCGTTCAGACGAGGAGAAAGAGGGCGGTGATGCGCGGGCGACGAAAACCGAGGAGGCGCCCGAACCGACTAAGAAGAAGAAGGCGCAGGACAAACCCAAGAAGAAGAAGAAGAAGTTTAGGTATGAGAGTAAGGAGGATCGCAGGCTGACTCGGACGAAGCAGCGGTTATCGAACCAGAAGAAGGCCAAGGCGCGGCGCGAGCAATGACGGAGCGGGGCACGAGACACTTGATCATACCCAGGAACAGATTACCTACGCTAGAAGTCTCACGAGGATACATTTCGTAGAAATCCACTGTATCTACCTTTTCATAGAAAAGCATCTGTTAATCCCCAGGGCCAGGGGAAGGGGAATAGGAGATGACTGATGGACGAGGCTTAAAGCCAGCTGCGTGACAAGACAAAGAAACAGTGCTAGTTCTGTCCCCGGCTAATGGACGGTAATCAGACGGGCTGCGATTTGCAACTATAAAAACAAGAGATACTGGAACGACCGCCGAATCCAGCATCGGCCCCAACTCCACGCCGGTTCTCAGACCTGCCCTTTAGACATTGCTTATAGACACCTCCAGATCGTGCAGCTCCTTCTGCAACTCGGCGTACTTCTTGGCCATCTCCTCGTACTTGCTCTCCCACTGGTCACGGGACGATTCCAGGGCCTGGACTTTGCGCTCGTAGTGGCCGGCCTTGACGTCGGTTTGGCGGAGCCTAATATAGAAATCGTTAGTGATCCAGTCGCCTGTCTTCGTTCCGGGTTCGAAAGACATACTTCTCGTTGGTCTCCCGCAGGTTCCGATCCGCATCTTCAGCCTCCTCCTCCAAGACCTGCAGACGTCTCTGCAGAGACTCGTTCTGTGTGTCGTGCTGGGCACTCTGGGTGGCCGCGTCCTTGGCCTCCTTGAGGGAAGTCTCGAGCTTCTCGACCTCATCCTCCAAAAGCTGGTTCCGGTGGTTGAGAGACGTGATTTCCTGTTCCTTGGACAGGTTCTCCTGTTCCAGAGTCTTGACCTTGCCCTTGAGATCCTCCACCCTCTCGCCGGCCTCGTCAGCCTCCAGACGGAGCTGGTTCATTCTCTATACATCGTCAGTTGGGTTCGCGTCAACATTTTTGTCATTTCCTTGGTGCCATTTTCAGTCCTTCCCGTCTTTCTTTTTCTCCTGATTTCCCTTGTTTTTTTCTTGATTATATATATTTTTGTTCCTTTCGAGAAAGAACGGTAGAAGCTCAAAATCCAAGAGGTATGTGACAACAGGCAATGAAAAGCAAGGGGAAGGAATGATGCATGTGCATATTGACAACAGCCAAGCTACCCCGCCAAACAGGGGAGTGGCGGAGAGACCGAAACTCACCTCCTTAATCTTATCCATGATGGGCGACGGGTAAAGGTTAATCTGGTGTGTGGTTCTGACAGAAGAGAGGCGATGAGATAGAAAGGTCTTCGCTCAGCGAGAAACCAGAGGGAAAATAGCAGGGAGGATAGAAGTGAGAGGGGAGAAATGAGAGGGGGAAATCGGATCGATAGAAAGATAGGTAAGGGATTGGGTTAGGTAGGTTAGGAGACGAAAGAAGTGGAGGAAGAGCGGTGGCCTTAGGTCGATTTAGGTAGGTAGATAGAACTAATCATACGCATGTATTCAACTAGTGGTAATTAGTGCTTTATTATATGAGGATCTGATTAATTACTGTTCTATAATTACCAGATTATTATTATCCTCACCCTTATTATTATGATTATTTTGGGTATTCTATTATTGTTATTATGATTATGCCAGCCTGGCAGTAGTCTCGATCTAACCTGATTGAGACACAACAACCGTGGCTGGACCAGAGGCGGTGAGGCGGTGCGCTGTGGCTGACCCAGAGTTTCTTTCCCGCCGGAAGAGTCCCCACGGCAACCACCAAAACAACCTATCAGTGCATGCTCACGTCTCTTCAAGGAAGTCACGTCCAAGGTAATATCATCCAATACGAGTTATCTTCCCTAGTACCTCATTTGATGGTCCTTCCTACTCTCTGTCCATTAGTTATTTCCCCCACCTACCTATACATCGCACTCACCCACTGATAGAACACGACTGGCTCTACTCCGATCAAACTCCGTGCATGAGTAACCCGCCACCATGTTGGCTCTCCGAGACCAGGAGAATCTGGTGCACGCCCACCAGACGGTGGCCGCTTCGAAGCCCTTGAATCAAGGCGCCAGGACCCTTCAACCGAAAACCCCGGGTGCCCGTGCCCCGAAGACACCGTTCAAGATCCCACTGAACGACGAGAATGATCCGCTGGGTTTTGGGAAGAAAACCGTCAAGGGGACGGGGAAGCAGAAGGAGACTACCAAGCTCTCTGTGAAAGATGCGTTTGCTACACCGATGGGTATGTAAAACGGAAGAGAAGAGAGGGGAAAAACCTATAACCCATTCGCCCACCAGATGGGATCGGAGGTTACTGACTATGATGGTAATAGACACCCGTCAGCGGGCCCCCCTCGGAATGAAAACGACCAATGCCAAGGCCAGAGGTCTGCAGACCCCTGCAGCACCGGGGACGATGAAGCCGGAGAGGACGACAAAACGTGCTTCCACCCAGAAAGTCAAGAAGTTCGCCCCGTTGACCGAGCCGAGTCAGCCCGAGGTGCAGGCGCAACCTGCCCCGGATGACGTTCCCGACATTGAATACATGCCGCCCAAGCCCAAAGGTGAGCTCCTCACGCGACTCCTACCTTTCGACCAGTCCGTTCTGACTTTCCCGCAGCACTTTTAGATATCCCTGATGATATCACGTACGACACCACGTTCCCCCAGTTCCAACCGCAGAATCTCGCCCTAGGACTGGAAAGCGTGTATGGAGACAATGAAGTTGGGGAGGATGGGCTCACCCGCCGACAGCGCAAGTTCCAGGAGGATTCCATCGCGGTCGACAAGATGGTAGACGAGATGATCCTGAAGTCGGTGGAGAGTATTGGGTTCGAGGACACCCCGCAGGTCACTCTTCCGCGCAAGACCCGCGCACAGGAACTCCCCCAGCGTCGCACCAGGGCCACTGCAAACAAGGCCAAGGAGAACAGCCACACCGATGTCTCCACCGTCCGCGCCCGCAATGCGGCCGCTGCTCTATCCGGCACCGACAGACCAACCACGCGCACCAGGTCCGCCGCCCTGCCGAAGCCCAAGCCCCGAGTCGCTTCCTCCATGTTTGCATCCCGCAAGCCTCGTGCTCCGGCCAACCCGTCCCCGATGCGCAACACCGCCGCAGCCGCCCGCTCCCGCACGACGGTGGGGTACACCAAGGGCCGCGACATGTCATCCAAGCTCCATGGTCCGTCGCCGGCCGCCCCGGAGGTTCTCGAACCCGCAGGCGCGAACATCCTGTCCCCGGAGACCTACCTGCTGCCTTCTCCCGCTGGATCGTCACTCTTCGACAGCGAAATCCCCCATGTCCCGCAGCCAGACGAAGGCTCGTTGGCCCAGGAAGAGGAAGAAAGGCTCCCGACTTTCGACGAGGATGAGGAAGCCCAGAACTTCCAGCTCGCGTTGTAAACGGGATCCTTTATTACATCGTTCTCCAGAAGGAGATCGGATACGTCGGAATGCCCCGGGGACTGCATTAGCGGTCAGGACTCAGGAGTCTCATGGGATGAGGTGTTATGCTATGCTTTGTGTTTTGCTCCATTTGTGAATTTTTTTCTTTCTAATACTGTTCTTCTTTACTGTCATCGTTTTCATGAATGAATCGCCGGAACAACGGCACGGACTGGCTATACAATGGGATGGGGGCCGGTAACAGGGAAATTCCACCAGAGGGTGGCGTTAATGTGTATGTTTACGAATGTTATTCCAATCAGATCAAAGGTTTTCTTCCATACTGAGAGTGAGTCAGCCCAAAATGGTTGGTCGTCGTCATCAGTGAAACGGGTAAAGGATGCGACAGGCGATTGTGTGGATGGGGAGATTGCTGGTGTCGATCATGCAGTTTCAGGACATGCGAACCCTTGTTGGGCCAAAGTGATTAAGAGTCCAGACCTGAGTGGAGGACTCCGGGAGACTCGGGGGGGCTCTTACATGATTGCTACTCAATTGAAGGATATTATCCATTCAAGAAATCCATTCCTTGACCGCTACAGGAACCAGGATTGAGATCCGCATCAGAACTATATCCCAGAAGAGATGAATAATAAATACTTTATGCAACTCCTGAAGAACCAGCCAATCATAGATCGGTGAATGCAGGCGGTGAGTGGGAATAGCTCCCGCCAGGTACACTTTAGCTTTCGGTACCTTGGCCAGGTGGCTGTTTGTTAGTGTCGCGAGGTACCTTTCCTACCTGGTACTTACTGTACTGTACGCTTGGACTTCCGAGCCTGGGGCCAGTTCTCTCTCTCCCCCGTCTATTTCTTTTCCTTCTTCCTCCTTCTCTTCTTCTCCTTCTTCTTCCTCTCTCCCCACCATCCCCCTTTTCCTTTCCCCCCTCTCTCCACCCTCCCCTTTCTTTTGTCTGTCATCATCATGGCGACAATTCATCCCGAGTCCCCAGAGGACTTTGAGTTCATTAAGACTCCGGCTGCCGAGTGTGTCACTCCTGCCGAGGACTGTGGTGTCCGGACTACCAAGGTACGTCAATTGTCAATCGTCAATTGACTTCTCAATTGTTTCTATCAATTGATTCTATATCAATTGGATTGTGCAAGAAACATAAGAACAAATGAAGATGGAAATAAAAATCAAATTCATGGTGAATACAAAATAAAACAAGAAGAAAAAGAACGGAAACATGAAACCATCAAATCGAAAACAAAGAATTGAAGCAGGACGAATGAAACACAATTCAAAACAACACGCACAACAAATGAGAAAACCAATCTGACATCTCCTACACAGTATCCTTCCATCAAAAATGCCCCCGTCCCCGCCGACTCCCCCGGTAGCGACAGCTTCTCCAACATCCTGCTGTTCTCCCTGCTCCTGCTCATCCCCTGGTACCTGGCTCGCCAGGTCGGTGGCGGTTTCTACACCACCATCTTCTTTGCCGTCTTCACCACCATCCCCATCTTGATGGTCTTCTGGACCGTCGCCTCCTCCGTCTCCCCGCGCAAGACCGAAAAGGCCAAGTATGCCGGTCGTCCCGTCGAGCACTACCTCCGCTTCAACAGCGAGCATGATCGCGCTACCTACCGTGGCAAGAGCAAGATCCCCATGGAGACCTTCTACGAGAAGTACTTCAACGGCGAGGTCGAGTTCAAGGGTGATGCCCTCGAGGCTCTGGAGTTCCGTCACGACTGGGCGAGCTTCCGCTTCACCATGGGTCTCTACAAGCACTTCCTCCTTGGCTTCATCCCCGAGATGTTGGTCCACTCGCGCTCTCAGGGTTCGTCTTTCCTCCCGACCCCCACCAAGAGAATCGATTTTTCGAGCACTGCTAACAGATCCTAGACGAGGAGCAGGTCCGTGACCACTACGACCGCGGTGATGACTTCTACGCTTGGTTCCTCGGCCCCCGCATGATCTACACCTCCGGTCTGATCGGCGACATCAACAAGGAAGAGTCCCTTGAGGAAATGCAGGACAACAAGCTGGCCGTCGTCTGTGAGAAGATTGGCGTCAAGCCCGGTGATACTATTCTGGACCTCGGCTGTGGCTGGGGCACGCTGGCTAAATACGCTTCCGTTCACTATGGCGCCCAGGTCACCGGTATCACCCTCGGCCGTAACCAGACTGCCTGGGGCAACAAGGGTCTGCGCAACGCTGGCATCGCCGATGAGCAGAGCCGTATCCTGTGCTCGGACTACCGTGACGCTCCCCGCGTGTCGGGCGGCTACAGCAAGATCACCTGCCTGGAGATGGCCGAGCACGTCGGTGTGCGCCACTTCAGCACTTTCCTGTCTCAGGTCTACGATATGCTCGACGACGATGGAGTCTTCTTCCTGCAGATCGCTGGTCTCCGCAAGTCCTGGCAATACGAGGATCTCATCTGGGGTCTGTTCATGAACAAGTACATCTTCCCCGGCGCCGACGCGAGCACTCCCCTGGGCTTCGTTGTCGACCGTCTCGAGGGTGCTGGTTTTGAGGTCAAGGCCGTCGACACCATTGGTGTTCACTACTCGTCGACCTTGTGGCACTGGTACCGCAACTGGTTGGGCAACGCCGACAAGGTCAAGGCCAAGTACGGCAACCGCTGGTACAGAGTGAGTGATCTCTTTCCCCTCCATAGCCCTTGAGGCCCATTTCAAACCGATATAATTGGTATGGTCCATGATGCTAACTCTCGCAGATCTGGGAATACTTCCTGGCCTACTCCACCATCACTTCCCGCCAGGGCGGTGCCACCTGCTTCCAGCTCACCCTCGTCAAGAACATCAACTCCACCCACCGTGTCGAGGGCATCAACACCCAGTACGGCCTCACCGGCGCTCTGCACACCGCTGCCGAGCACCACGACGGCGTCCGCCCTAGCGCTCACGTCGCTTTTAAGGCGTAAACGGTACATCTGTCGGCGTCGCCTGGAGCTGACCCTCGGTTGGTCCCGTTGAACGTGGCCAACGAAGGCTGGACCCAGAGATGAGATTGAGAGAAAAGGAGCGGCTTTTGCCTGATTTCTGCCAGGAAATGGGTTGAACCCAAAGAGCGACAATCAGGCTGAGCCAGAAGCAAAAGGGGGAGAGAAAGACGACCTAGATCTACGGGTGCTTGTAAATTAGGCATCTCGATCTGGTTTATGTACGATGACTCTGATTGATATTTTTTTCTTTTTTCCCATACATCGTTCATTTATTATCCTGTGTCGGCTCTACTTGGAGCGGTCAATGGATGTGTACCTCTTTTTCATTTCAGGAGACATGTGTTAATGAACGAGAATAGAAAGAACACTGATTGATGATAGAGCGCTGCCTTTATGACCTTTTTTCTCATAAATAAGATAAATAACGTAAACCAATTGGTATCTTGCAAAAATGAAAAAACATAAAGATCTATCGATCTGTTCCAACTCCCCCCCATATCCCCCCTTTATAGCCCGCTACTTTGGTCAACTAGTTGACTACTCCACACGCTTGAACAGCTTCGCCTTGCCAGCTCCCGCACCACCAGAGCAGCACGCCGGAGCTGGTGCTGCTGCTGCCGGCGGGTGCAAGGTCGACTGGTTAAACGACTGAGACGACTGCGGGACGTCCAAGGCGGGATTCTTCGTGAAGAATCCGTCTGGGCGGAGCATGACGCTTATGCGTTCCATGGGCATGACGGGGAAGTCTTCGATGCGGGGGTTGTGGGTGAGGCCGAATGCTTGGCGGTGTTAGTTTTGTTTTACGTATTTATAGTCCGGGGAAGAGGTAGTGGTATGTGTAGTACTGGTTGGGAAGGGCTAGGGAGGCGGTTTTGGGGGAAAGAGGACTTACTGTGCCAAAGCACTACGTCTGTATTCTCGGTATTATCGCCTCGCTGGACCCATGTCTCGACGCCGTGCGCGCGCTTGCTTTGGTTGGTGAATTCGCCGGCGGCGTACAGCTCGTCGTCTTGGTACTTTGTGACCCAGATGGGTTTGGTGGCGAACTCTGCGCGGCGATAGCCTATGGCTTTGGGGCTGAGCAGGAGCATTTGGCTGGGGGCTGCCATGAGCTTGTATGCTACTGGTTTGTATGTGATGGGGTTGACGACGTTGTCGTTGCGGATCTTGAAGACGCGGTGGCGGGCGATGTCGGTGGTTGCTGAGCTGGACTGGCGGATCACGTTTTGCTCGGTGGTGTAGCCCACGAGGTATGGGTTGTTTTCGTCTTCCGGGAGTGGCACGCTGTCTTCGTAGTAGACTGTGTTTTTGAAGCCGTCGATTGCGGGGTCGACGCGCAGGGAGAACATGTGTTGGTGGAAGGGCGCCATCACGCCCGGCCCTACGTTGGTGCCCCAGCGGACGGATTCGCCGGTTTTGTGGTCGAATGGGACGGTGGATAGGATTCCGGTTGCGCGGACTTCCAGTTCGACGTTGGCTGCTTGATCGAGGATGTAGGCGAAGATGTACTCGTAGTTTGCTACCGTGCAGATCATTTGGATGACCAGCTGGCGGTTACGCACGACGGTGGCGGCCCCGGACCGATAATTCGTGTGTTTATGTTGCAGACCGTTGTCCTGCTCGTGCATGCAGATGATGTTCTTTAACAGGACCGGGTTGCCCTTGGAATCCGCTCTGTATCCGTCAAAGTATTTGATGTGACCCAAGCAATCACAGCCCAGCGAGAGCTGGTTGGCGTTGAGACCGAAGCCGACATCGCCCACGTCGAAAGCCTGCTTTCGGTGGTACGGGGCACGAGGATCTGTCAACGATGTTAAAACACAAGCTCCATGATTGTGGCCAGAACGGTACCCACCTCCATAAGGGACGGTCATTTCGGAAACCGCCAGGCGATACAGGACGTTACGGTTATCGTACGTCAAGTTATACAGCACCATGCCCTCCCGGTTATTGAATCCCACCCGGAAGCGCCATTTCTGCCAGTAGACGGAGTTGCCATCCGCCGAGAAAGAAGCACCCTCGGGCTGCTGGACGATGTAGGGTTTGAGGTCTGTTCGCAGGGGTTCGTTCAGAAGGTCATGGGCATATTGGATTGTTTCCACGGGCTTCCAAGGCTGCGTTTCGGTGCTGGCTGTATCTGCTCCGCCGGGCAGATAATCCATGCGCACTAATTTCATCGTATGGCGGTCGAAAACCGGGGAGAACTTGCAAGGAAGGGAGTAATGATTGTTTTGGGGGTGGTCCACCGACACCATATACATGAAGCATTGGAACAGTCGGCGCGTCTCGTTGGGGTTGTCTGATCCGTACATCCACGGGTCGTTACAAACCGTCACCCCCGGAGGCAACTTGAGCTTCTCGATTTCAGCCTTGACCGCGGGGTGTTCCATGCAGAGGCTCTCGATGTCGATGAGTTCGTCGATATCCACCGGAACCTAGCGAAGAGGAGATATCAGTGATCCGAAATTTCGTAACCGGAGGCAAGTCGGGGATACCCACCTGGACACCTTCCGGGATCGCCTTGGTGGAGACGACGGTTTTACTGTCCGCATTCACCAAGCTTTTGTAACATGCGCCGTTGTCCTGACGGTGAAAGTAAGAGTACAGCAGACGGGCTGGCCTTGGAGGCAGAGGTTTTCTCAAACGCTCTGCCTCGATATACGGAACGACATCATTCTTGATCGGCTCATGGAGATCAATCCGATTGTAGCGCAGCGCAACTCCCGGAAACGCAGCCTCCAAGATGCGGGCCACCAGTCGGATTTCGTGCGGTGTGATGGGGTCGAATGGGTGGCGGGTGTGCGCAGTGGTCGGTGCCACGCCTTGCGAATCGATCGACATGGTGGGTTTGAACTGGGGCGATTTCTGCGAATATGGTAGAACGGTGAAAGGAAGATGAAGGATCTGGGGCCCGTCACGATCTTAAGTAGCAATCCAGATTCTGCAGACGGTGGTTATAACAGCAACCATGGTGATCGATATCATAGGCTGTTGTCGCAACTGCAGGCTTGAATGTGATTGTACCACAGCGCACGCAAGGCCCATCTATCGGCCCTTGAGTCTCCTCCACAGGGCCCGCATGGACCTGCCGATTCAGGAATGGTGGGTCGGGATGATATCAGTCTGTGGAAAGCCACCAGTTCTCAAGTAATATTTGTAACCTTGGTAGTGGGTGGATTGGACAATAGAAAGTTCCTCTAGCATATAGTCCGAGTCAATCTCTGTCTGATAAAAGAAGAGAGATATAGAGTGATAGAGATATAGAGATATAGAGAGAGAGAGAGAAATGAGGGGAGCGGGGTGATTATGTCAGCAACCGATAAGCGTATCGCATCTCATCCCGATTAGGCTTAGCGCGGGATGCTCTTCATTCGCGTCACTTTAGTTGCTTTAACTGTACTTGGTTTCTCTTCTCTCACTCCATCTGTTGGGCTGTCTCTCTCTCTCCGTTGCTCCTCTGTCGGCTGGACACTTGAAACCAAGGTTGCATTCGTCATCGATAAGGGATACTCCTCGGATCATTCATTACCCCTCTTAATTGGGTAAGTTGATCAACTCCCGTCTCAATACGTGTCCCTTGCAGGGCTGGAGGTGTAGTACCACTGGCACTATACTAGTCTGGAAAACCCATCTAGTGTCATGCGATCAGTTCGTACTAGGCGTGATGATCACTGGCGCTAATGGTTTGGTTGGCTAGCTGTGAGGGCCGCTTTTATACAATCCCTCCCCATCGGAACCTGTCTATCAGCTGAAAAGCACTGTGATCCAGTCGTGATGCTCTCCGTGGGCAGCCCCTCGCAAGCCCCAGCAAGAAAACGATGCCGAAGAGAAGGTTCGAAATGGACGAGGTCCGGCTGTCTCACGTGTAAGAGGCGTCGAAAGCGCTGCGATGAAGAGAAACCGAGGTATGCGTGGTAATCTCCAACAATGTAGTCTCGCCTCGACTGACATGGCAGATCAGTTGCCGCAGTTGCGTGAGATTAGGGCTGAGCTGTGAAGGCTATGGTTCAATCTGGGCAAAGCCGCTCAACCCCTCCGACCAGGTGTTTCAGCAGTATGAACCCGTACCCAAGCGTCGGAGGATCGACCCCTCGGCCTCGGAGTTGGGATCATCTCCAGCATCCACACGAGAGCCGTCGTCCCCGTGCTCGACTGTATCGACCTGCCCGTCGATCTCTCTGTCATCACCCTCGGACAGCAATGCAATTGAAATACGCACGCCGCCCGCGGACCATGCAGACTTCGATGATGTGGATACTGGCCGTGGCAAAGAGGTGGTCCCGTTGAATGCGCCGGTCGAAATCGGTCTAGGGATTCTCGATCCCTCGGGATACATGAGTAACCTCTCCCACCTGGAAACCCATTTTCTTCAATACCACATGGAGCAAGGGTCCAAGCTGTTGGCAAATCTGGACAGCGACGAGAACCCTCTACGTTCCCTGATCATCCCCAGGGCCCTATCCTCACCCCTCCTGATGAAAGCCCTCTGTGCCGTGTCTGCGATGCATCTCGCCAACCGGTCCCAGGATAATCTGCACGCCCAGACGGCCGCTGCCAATTACTACATTCGAACAATGAGTGGGATTCGTGCCGCGCTATTCCAATCTCCTGGCCAACCTTTTACCGATGACTCCATCCTGTCGGTGGCTCTTCTGGTGAAATACGAAATCGTACGGGGAAGCGTGAAGCAGTGGGCCACGCATCTCAAGGCACTGGAAAATCTGGTCATCTCACGCGGTGGGTTCGCGACATTTGACACTGACCTAGCGGAATTTCTCTGGGGCCTGTATGAGCGATCCTTGAATGTGCGGCCACAAGTGACATCGATTCGCTAATCTTTGCTGTAGGTTTATGTACGCACACAACCTGGCCAAAGTGACCAACCGCAAACCCGTCACACAAGAGCGTATCCCCGGCACGGAGCACCTCAGCCTCACAAAGCTCGACAGCTATATTGGCTATACAGAGGATATTATCCGGATATCGGCCCGCATAGCCGACCTCCCTTGTCTCCGCCATGACCCCGTCGCCCTGATCCTAGAAATTCAGACTATGTAAGTTAGTTGGTATCCGCGGCGCATGCAGTACGTTGACCACATTCTAGTGATTCGTCCCTCCGCACTTGGACCCACACCATGAAGCAATACAACCTTCCTCGGGGAATCACGGCAGCCGCCATACAGCGTCTCCTCATGGTCGCAGAGTGTTTTCGCGATTCATCGTACATCCATCTTCATTCCATATTGAAACGTATGAGTCAGGAAAGTGCCGCCCCAGATCTGTATACATTATGGTCTTCGTTTGTCTCGACGTCGAAAGATGCGGCTCTGCAGAGTTGCGTAAGTAGGCTCAGGTCGTTCCCACT